AAAGCTTACAGTAGAATAAAATGTAACTCATTGGCGAATAAATGTAGCTTACAGTAGAATATAATGTAGGTCGTTGTAGAATAAACATAGCTTATTGTAGAATATATATAGCTTACAGTAGAACAAAATGTAACTCATTGGAGAATAAATATAGCTTACAGTAGAATATAATGTAGGTCGATGTAGAATAAACATAGCTTATTGTAGAATATATATAGCTTACAGTAGGATAAAATGTAGCTCATTTGAGAATAAGTGTAGCTCACAGTAGAATATAAAGTAGTTCGCTGTAGAATAAACATAGCTTATTGTAGAATAAATGTAGCTTACACTAGAATAAAATGTAGCTCATTGGAGAATATATGCAGCATCCAGAACAATAAATGTAGCATACAGTAGAATAAAATGTAGCTGACGGTAGGTTAGAATGTAGCTCTTTGTATAATAATTATAGCTCAGTGTTGAATAGAGATAGCTTACAGTAGAACGAAATGTAGATTATAGTACAATCATTATAGCTCGTAGAATATTTACATTGTAGATTCGTGGTAGAAGAGATGTAGCCTTTAGTGGAATAAAAAACACACTTTACAGTAGAATATGTAGCTAACTCGAGAATGCGCTTATGCTGGAATAAAAGCAGGTTACAGTACAATAAAATTTAAATAACAGTTGAATATAAAAGATTATTATAGCAAAGATGTAACTTATTGCACAATAAATGTAGCTTATGTAGAATAAAAGGTACCTTATAGTGGAATTAAAGTATATTTTTGTAGAATACGTGTAGCTTACTATACAGTGGAAGAAATATAACCTACAGTAGAATAAAATGCATCTTATAGTAGAATAAATGTAGCTTATTTTAGAAGAAATCTAGGTGATTGTACAATAAATGCAACCTGCTGTAGGGTATAACTAGATTATTGTAGAATGTAGAATATATTCAGCTTACAGTGGAATAAGATGTAATTTAAAGTAGTATTAATGTAGCTAATTGCAGAATGAATGTTTAACATCGCGTTCAAGATAACTGCACTCCGAGGCCAGTTTTATCCCCCCTAATGTCGAACTTCAGGCAGGGGAACAACAAGTACCATCTTTTAACGTCCTGTAAACATGACCATATCAATTGGAAATTCACTTTAAAAAACTTGCCCTAGACTAACATTTAGTCTCTGAAATGAACATATCGTACATAAAAAAACAGTTGTTCAGTTATCTTAATAAAAATATAATAAAAAGGAGCCCAGTGACTCTCTTCATTTTCAGATACTGCAGTGATCTAGACTTGCCAAACATTATAGACTTCCATGGGCTATTTTTTATATATATTTGTATCAGGATCTGTAAAACAGACTAAACTTGCCCATGCAGTATGATTTAACGATTTCACTTTCCCAAAAATGATGGGATATTGGGTTTATATTTAGATAGCAAAAATAACAAAGATCAGAATTTGTAACTGTAATTTTAACTAGGAAAGAATTAATGGTTAAAATTCTTTGAATAAGTCTGTACTGAAACTATCTTAACTTAGTACCCCGTGAACTAGAACACGTTTTTGAGAATATATTGGAGCCTAGTCAATCTCTGATAAACTGTTTCTGTCCCTGTGACATAGCAATAGGTCTTCAGCAACCCATGCTTGCCGTAAAAGGCGACTATGCTTGTTGCAAGAGGCAACTAACGGGATCGGGTGATGAGGCTCGCTGACTTGATTGATGCATGTCATCGTATCCCAATTGCGTGGATCGATGTTCATGATGTCAATCACTGGACTGTCTGGTCCAGACTCGATTATTTACAGACCGCCGTCATATAGCTGGAATATTGCTGAGTGCGGCGTTAAACAACAAACCAGCATTAGAGATATAATTGGATTCACAATTTATGAATGATAACATTCATTCGTTAGTGAATGGCTACCACATGCCAAGATTGACAAGAAATCAGCGACACCAAGCCGATTGCAAGCTGGACAAACCGCCAGGCAAGTAGCCAATGCATTTCAAGTCCACGTAAGGACCATATATACGCTCCAGCAACGGTACCAGACCACCAACACAACAGATGAGCGACCACGTAGTGAAAAGACCAAGGGTCACCACCCGACGTCAGGATCGTCAGATTGTGCGACAGCATCTTCAAGATCGCTTTGTTACTGCTGCGGAAACTGCTCGACAGACCATGGGGACACACCAGCAACACATTACTGCGGACACCGTGAGTCGACGATTGACGAGCAGACACTTCCACCGCAAAGGCGACACCAGGACCCATTCTGACACCACGTCATCGCCGGGACCATCTTCAGTGGGCAACACAGCACCAGCATTGGCGCCGCCAGCAGTGGAGAAGAGTCCTCTTCTCAGACGAGAGCCGTTACTGTATCTCAACAGCAGATGGCAGAGAGAGAGAGAGAGAGAGTATGGCGACGCCGTGGGGAATGTTATTCGGGTACTTATGTTGTTGAGAGGGACTCATGGGGTGGGCATCATGATGTGGGGTGGAATTGGTCTTGCACAAAGGATCGGCCCTGTGGTCTTCCAGAACATCGGTCCAGGGAGAGGCAATGGGTTTACACAATAAGTTAAAGCATTACACCTGTTTTAAATCATTCATTTTGACCGAAAAATATGTTTTGGATATGAATGTTAAGAAATTCGGAACAGCACTATCCCGTTTCAGATGTAGTTCTCATGACCTTCTTATAGAAAAAGGTAGACATTTAGCGATACCAAGGGAAAACAGATTGTGTAAATATTGTACTTGACAAGAGATAGAAGATGAATACCATTTTTTGCTAGTCTGTCCATTGTATGCAAATATCAGAAAAGAATACATACATAAATATTTTTATCTGAATCCTAGAATAGACAAATTTTATATCTTCATGTCATCTCAAAATGAAACAGCCACAAAATATCTTTCAATGTATATATATATCATGCAATGAACATCAGATCCTCTGCATTATAGATGTGATATTTTGTTACGATATATGTAATTCCTATTGCACCCATTGCTACTGTATGTATATATGTACTATAGGCCTATGGCCTTTTCAGTACTTGAAATAAAGATTGAGAGGCAATGGTGTCACAGCAGCTCGGTACATTGATCAAGTCTTGAGACCACACGCCATACCTCATTTGGCACATTGCCGCAACCACGAGTTTCAGCATGATAACGCCCGTGCCCACACTGCGAGAGCAAACAAGAGACTTCCTTCAATTCAAAGACGGCTGAATGACGTCCTACCAAGGCCGACAACTACAGCTGAACTGCGTCAGGCGTTCCTCAGAGTGGGCTCAAGTGCCTATGGCCTTCATCAACCGACTTATCCATTCCATGTATAGACGTTGCACGGCAGTCATCATGGCGGACACACGAGATACTGACTTGTGATGTCATTGTCTCAGAGACTAGTGTTGTGTTTCACTTTAAGAACATTTGACACTTTAATTTCAACCTTGATGATCAGTTTTGCCAAGTTTCATCTTTTTAATATGTCTCAAAGTATGTTTACAGTGTTTGGAAAAATTAAGGTTTCTTATTTATCTATCCATGGTGACGTTTCTTTTGCGGTTCAGTATATTTTATTGCAAAAAAATGATTCCAGTAAAAACCTGGGTAGCAGCGTTTTAGACCACGTGAGCCATGTTTCACTCATTGTTTGAAAATATCCAAAATAGTAAATAATTTGTTTTAAAAGTTTCACAGTACTAACTGTATACAAAAATATAAAGAACATTATCGTGTGTGTGGTTGAATTGGTCGTTTTTTGTCTTTGTACGTGTCTTCTTTGTTCTTTGTTCTTTGTTTTGTCTAAAAAACAACTGTTTATTAACTTTCTTTGTATTTTGTTGCTACCCTTCTCTGTAACAAGGATGTTTGGAATACCAAATATGAATTAAGAAAACGTCTTTTCGTTAGACGCGGCGGGTGGGGGTCGAACCATCGACTTCCCGCTCTTCAGTCAGACGCTTTATCCACTAGACTACGGACATGGCAGGAGTCAGAACCATCTATAGTTTCCCTATAACTTAACACAACTCTTAAAGGTTATTTATTCCAGGACCCACTTGCACAAAGCGATCTTAGCGCTAAGATGATCGTAACTCCCATACTTTAACATAGGCTTACAATAGTCTTAGTCTTAGCATGGACCCTAAATATAAGTGTCCATGGTCTTAGCGCTAAGATCGTTTTGTGCACTTGGCCCCAGATGCGCTACAGAGATCCCACAAATGCAGCTTTGATTACGAGAAACGTATTTCGTCTTACATGTATATATACCCATTAAGGAAACGGTATATATATATATATATATATATATATATATATATATATATCCTTTTGATACTACGACTGTGGACAAGATTGTTAAACATTCAACAAATTCATAAATTCTTCTTTCTTTTCATAACACTCCTTGTTTTAAATGCAAGGTACGGATAAGTCATTCTCCCTTTACACTTACTAAAGTCGAGTTCTTCTAAAATAGTGCACACGAAACTTACCAGAATTTAACAGTCCAGTAAATATTTAAATTTAATGGTTGAATGAGAGTAAATTAATAACCGTATAAATAAGTGAATACTTACTAATTGAATTAATAATTACACAGTTACACCCAAGTTTTTAAACAACTATAGCAATCAACGTTGCACGATCCGTTTGAAGAGATACTTGTTGCTGTATGGGCTATGGTAAATATTAAACATGTGATGCAGGTCGCGGTTGAAACGGGGATGGGCGTTGAAACATCCCACCTGTTTGGATGCGTGCATTTGAGGCAGTCTGGGTCAACGCAAGTGAATTTCAAACGGTAAGATAACGACTATTTATAGGGTTTCGCAGCTCATCTCGATCAAGAAATTTCTTGCTAAATATAGAACATTTCATCGTCCAACCAACGACAGTCTCTTAGGAAAGATATTTTCAGTTGTGCGTCATCAAGCATTTAGCCAATCCCATAGCTCGTTACATTCGCCCACAGATTCATTCATTGGACTTCCCAAGATGGCGGAAGGTGGACCACCGGATTGTGAGACTCAGAAGTCAGAAATAGGCAATTTACTGAAACTGACCCTTAAAAAAGGCGAAACTTGGTAAGGATTCGTACATATAGAAACCTTATACATCATAATCAGTCCATATATTGTTATAATTTTGCATAAGATATTATCATTTTGACAGTCACAGTTCAGAGGTGATCGTTGCTGACTCATAAATTTGTACGACCGGGATTAGGTGAAGGTTTTGACAGCGGAAATATCTACACTCATAGTCTGCAAATTTATCACCTTGCGATCTCACATTGTATCGTTCCAATTACCTGCAAGTTTTTCAAATTCTTCCGAATACGATCTAAATCACAGGTGTCAACTTTCGTTTTTGAAATGGCAATTGTGTAGCTGTCTATCGAAAGTAAGCGAATGTTGTCACATTACCGACGACGACGGGAGTGTCCAGAGAAGCATTTTCACGTGATTGAAAATGTGACAGGTCTGCCAACGGCATTCACAACCTCTTTCATGTCGCCGTTTCTGATGTTGTAAGGGCACCGTCCCTACCGAAAGTGGTTGATCTGGTTTTGTTTGTTGTTCAGGCAACAAGTGGATCGCATTGGCCTAGTATTACACCACACCTTGCCAACCTTCACTGGACACTGCATTAGTTTGGTTAAGTGATGATAAGCAAGTATTTGGTTTTTGTCAGTCCCGATGTATTATATCAAATCTACGTCTTCTAAATTTATGATATTGGTTAAAAGTGTCCCCAATTAGCCTCTGCTTCAACATGCTGCTTAAAATCAATTTAGCATCCTGGTCTGAAGGGTTTTCCTCAGTACAGCAAGAAGCTATAAACAGTGCAAACATAGATAAACAAATGTTTATGGAAGTCAAATTTATCAATTGCGCGCATATGTGTGCTACTCTGTCGCCCTGTTATGCAAATTACAACCAGTTCAATGTTATTGTTTTAGGCAATATGGGGAGAGCTGCTAACACAGTCAACAACGTTGTTCCTTGTGAATTGAAATCTGTTTGTGAATTGGTCAGGAGAATGTTCTTTGTGAATGTGTTTTTTATTTGATTAACAATGGATTCATATTTTGGAAAATATACCAAAATATATATGTAAAAATAACTTTGTTATTCATGGGTAGAAATTATTTTTTCTGTTCACTAGTCTGCCTTAATCTGCTGTAGTAAAAGTGGCAGTTCACAAGGAAAACTCACTCGTTCCTCCAGATTTATGTTAATTCTGAATCCTATGTATGGCTTGTCAGTTGCAACTATGCATGTGATGATCTATGGTCACACAGTCTTGTTAAATATGTCAATAAGACTGCATCAAAAAGCCAGAACATAAATTCACCTTACCTTGGGATATCCCAGTGTAAATACAAGACATACATACTTGACTGTAATAAATAACTTCAGTTGTCATTTATGAAATTATATTTACATGTAACATTGTTTAATAATGAGAGTTCCTGATATTGAGTTCTGTTATGATGATAGCTATAAACATTTACAGACTTTAAATCATTTTTCTATCCATGCCCTCTACGATAACGCGCACATCATATCTGAGGGGTCGATTTATCAAACATAGCTGAACAAGTGCTTTTGCTATAAAGATTACAAAAGTTATTAAGATTACGAGAGATAAAATTCATGATGTGGCGATAATGTACATGGACAAGACTAGACAGCCATGATAAATGAAAAGTAGTTATATTTAGCATTTTAAGTGTGCGGCTAGAATACAGAATACTGGATACCTTGCGCAATATTGGTAAGGAATGTGTACAAGATCCTTCCTTAGTAATGTTTTTTTCATTGCCCCGCTAAAATAATCGAGTATTTGGGAGGCATGCCCCCTACTCAAAAGGATTGATTTAGACCGCGATGCCACAATATTCTCACATAGTTGTCATAGATATTGTATCAACATTCATTCAGCATGATTGAAAATGGCATACATATAACTGTTACACTTTCAATAGTTTCATCTGCATTGACACTCTTATTTTCTCCAACAATAATTGATAATGTGTTATTGCTTCACTAAAATTATCTACCATACCTGTAACTATCAATAAAAACATACACAATTGTTTATTGATTCGTCAAAAGCTGTCAAAAGAAAAAGTGAGTTGCATACTCGCAACACTGCATGCAGTCTCTCACTGTGCATAACCGATACCTATTACAAATTTTGAACTATTTCAACTGCCCAAACTGTAACAGCAAGTTGAATTTAGAGTTTAGAATATGCTATGATACTTCTAGATTTGTCCATAAAAATTGAAAAATGTGACATTCAAATGTAACTCATAAACTTCATTAATCTTCCGGCTACTCATCAATATTATTATATAACTTCTAAATATTTTCTAACTTCTGCCCATGGCGAACTTGCTGCCTTCTGCTGGAATAAGTGACTTAAATGTTGCTAACCAAACAAAAGGGTGAACCTGGAGCAATATTTATTGTAGAGTGAATGTATGATGAACTGCAACTACTAATTAATTGGAAATTCAACCATATTCCTTTGATATGGTACACACAACAGAAATAGACCGCAAAATTGACAAAATCCCCATGTTTAATGAAATATCATTCTCAAATATCTTTACTATATTTTTTGACAGCAAACAAACTGTTATATTATTTACAACAGTCACTATTTCATGTCTTGTCACTTTGGATATATTCAATTACGATCTAAACACACGTTGTCAAAGCCCTAGAAATTTTACAATGGCAAATTGTTGTCTGCATGTGAACGAAATAAACAGCTAATCATGGTAACATGGTAAACACCTCTGCTAAATGATCTATAAATGTACTCACGAATAATTCCTCCTTCAGTCGACAGTGAACAGAAATACATAAATATTTATGTAATTCATATTTTATTTCAGTTGACAATGTTCATTTTCCAAAAAATATACACTTTTTTTTATATTTGCAGTGGAATAATTAAGTAAATGAAGATAGGATATGTGAGGATAATCTATATAGTCTAGTAACAATAATTGCATCATAATTGGAGACACAAATAACAAAAATCAAATAGCTTCCACTGTTTGGAGACAAAATATCTCTGATACTTAGCAAAATCTCATCACACACCAAAAAGTATCCTTCCTTTTGAGCAGAGGAGATATTTCTCTGATAGGTACAGATTTCCAGGTTAATCCCTGCACTCATACGCTTGATACAAATGCTACTTCTGCCATTACAGGAGGTAACTCTATTAGTTCCTGTTCTATTTATAGCGTATCATGATCTCACTGACGATACAAGTATCAAGTGTATAGAGATTACTACACGAGTGTCTGTCAGATACCATTTATCTTACGAGTTGTTTTAAAAACGTATCTAACGAGCGAAAGCGAGTTAGATACGCTTTGAAACAAGGAGTTGTAAGATAAATGGTATCTGACAGGCATGAGTGCAGTAATCTGTTTCTTACACATCCTTAAATCGCACCTTTTTACCATCAAATCGATGCATTTTGTCTGTTTTCATGATCGCAGTGGCGCATTAATACATAACACAACAATCATGAGTGACGCATACGACATACTGCTTACTATTCATAAATGATCTAATGTTTTCCAATGTAACCAAGAGAATTTGTCGGAAATACAGATAACTATCGTCGTCATTGTGCGTGACTTTGTGTCAGTCATGGCATCACACAGGACAGAAACCTTTAGGATTACTGTTGAATTTACCTGATCATTGTAATGTATATATTTTTAATTCCATAATTCGTGCTACGAAACTCTTCCTACGAATATTCTCAAACGCTTCAGCCAATGTATGCTACAATTAGACGAATTGATCTTTTAAAATAGGAGAGTGTAAAATCTGAATTTTACTTTGTTTACATTTCAACAGGTACAGTTTTCCAAGCACAGTGTTCGTTTCCACACCTACTTTATTTCGCTTGATTTCATCTAGATAATTTGTAATATTTTTTTAATTTGAAGTTTACACGATATACAGCTTTTCCATTGGACCAGAGGGTGGTCACATGACCGCGAAATTGACGTTCATAAGTGTATGAACGACACAATTTGACGTTCATGCGTTTTTCACGAGACCGTGTTCATGAATGACGTAAACACTGACGGACTACTTCCACATTCCTGGGGAAACCCCTGGGAATTCCCTAGTACGAAAACATGCATAAACGTTCTTTCTGATTATTTAGAACCTATATTCTTGGTCTCAGCGTTTCAGTATACATTGAGAAATGTCAGAGAGCGTGATTGCATGATTGTTCACAAATGTCCTTGCCACGGCCTATCCTAAATAATGAACAAACGAAGAAATGCACATGTAAACTATCGTAGTATCGACTCGATCCGTGCCTAGGCTGACATTGACTGTCTCCAGCAATCTATGAATTTACCTTTGTGTCTGTTTGACGCATCTTTATTCACCTTTCAATGATCGGCCAGTTGATCAATGATGACTAATAGTAATACATGTAACCGCCACAGGTTCATTAACAACTTCGGAAATCTCTCCCGTCACGTTTATCGTGTCGGCCATTTTGACGTCTTGTACTTGATGTAAATGTATTACGACTTGCTGTCATTGTGACTGACTTACCGAGGTAGTTCATTACAGATCTTTCTCATCTAATAAGGATACGATTTGAACACATGTGCTGCGTAGGATGTTTCTGAAGAGTAAGTTGTGCATCCATACGCCCATGTCACCTCTTTTTTAGGAACTATTTTACTCGCCGATTTAGCTGGCTGTTGTATGGCTGTCAGTGTAAACATGAAGTCACACGTACTTAATAAAATTGTGTTTAGATCTTGGCATATATCCTTTGAGGTAAGAAATTGTGATAATTTTTTTTATAAGAATTGACTTTCACTTTGTGTGAAGGTCAATTCTTAATTGGTGACCAAGACCATTTGTCATTTGATTAAAAAATGTATGAGGAATTCAGGCATGCATGTATCGCAGCTGAGTTTATAATGTACGTGATCTAATAGGCGTCTGATAACCGACATCCCTGAAACATGATTTTGTAAACACTATCCAATATGGCGGAAAGTGCACTTCGGTGTTTGTGTTTGGGTATTTTCCAAAACTTACTCAACGATTCTAGCTTCATCGGCTACGTTTCAGAATTATCATTGGTGTTTTGGTGAAAAACAGATTTCCGTGATCACTAATATGCTATTTTTTAAATTCAATCCTTCGACTAAATATCCGATATTTAGACTTCTTAACACACAGTAATTTTACTTTGTCTAAAATGACAGTGGATGATATCACAGAAGAGGGAATTTCCCACAGAATTCAAAACTTTTAGTGTTCGTGATGTATATTGAATTTTAGTCGACTCCGAAGTGAGTGTTGAAGAGGAGAGACATGTATATATATATCGTCGGATCATATGGAGTAGCCAATCACTGGCCTGGAATTTGATCTCACACATATGTTTGATACCAGTTATCTCAAATGGGTTTCTCACACAAGGTGAGGGCACAGGTGTCCCAGTAGTCTTAGGCGCCACAATTCGCTGTGCAGTGTTGCGTCCCTTGGGCACGCCAGAAACCTATGATTGTGGGTTCGAATCCCGGTTCGCCCCAATTATGTTTCTAGGTTTGTCAGCACCTTACCCGTGCTCGTGGGTTTCACCGAAGTGGTAAACGTCTGAGACCTGCATCACTTTGGGATTTCCTCCTCTGTTAAGCTGACTCACCGTGATCTAACTGGAATACTGTTAAAAGCGGCATTAAACCCAACTCACTCATTCAGTCACACACAGGTGTGTAAGAAACCTAAAAACCTAACTAGCAATGATAGCGTAGGTATTGGTGAAATGTTACAGCCCTAGTTCGCTGCTTTGATAATGTGTGTGAGACGCGTAACTAACATCACTGTAAATATTGGAATTATTTTAGATCAATTGACCAGATCATATTTTTATTATTAAGTTTTTGTGTAAATAGAACGGATGAATAGTATGATGCTTGTTATTGTCGCTGTAAACAGACCTTTGGTTGTGGTAGTAGAAATGAATAGCCAGAGCTGTAACATGCTTGTGAAGATCCGGGGTAGAATAGGTCTTCAGCAACCCATGATTGCCGTAAAAGGTGACTATGCTTGTCATAAGAGTCGACTAAAGGGATGGGGTGGTCGGGCTCGCTGACTTGGTTGATGCATGTCATCGTATTCCAATTGCATGGATTAAAAGCGGCGTTAAACCCAACTCACTCACACACTCCAATTGCATGGATCAATGCTCATGATGTCAATCACTTGATTATCTGGTCCAGACTTGATAATTTACCTCTGTCATATAGCTGGAATATTGCTGAGTGTGATGTTAAACAACAAACAAACAAACGAACAAACAGAGATGCAAAAAACAACATTTCAGTGGAAAAATATCCATTGGCTTGTCATGTTGTGTTACTGGTGTTTTCACTACCCTGTAAGGAACAAAAGTCGGACATTAGCATTAAAAGAAGCTATTGGGTTGAAGACTGTATTTGAATTAAGAATGGAATTCAGGGGGTCCTTGTTATAACCCAAATGTTTATATTCTAGGATTTAGGAGGTCCTTGGCTCAAATACCACCAGAAGTGCAGAACATGTCCAGGAACTCCCATGGACTAGCACTGTAAAACAGACATTAGTCCAGATAAATACAAGCAGCCACACACACAGAGACACACACACGCATGCACATAGCTACAAAAGTGCAGTTAACTTGAACGTGACGTTAGACCCCGTTTCATCTCTCCTCCATCACCAGGTCATCCAACCTTGTTTGGCCAGTTTATCATGTTCCTCAACAACAGGAAAATGTTTCATGCTTTTTAACCAGACACTTTTTGACACTTGACAAACGCAGTAGGATTTTCTGTGGGTCTGACTGATACTGCGCTTCTGTATTTGCAGACTTGCTTTGATAAACAATGAGTACAGATCTAAGCCTTTCATTATGGGAGAAAGGTGCACATTAAACACTGTACGGTACAGGTGTGTTTGGTCATGTTGATCCAGCAGTCAAGACACACAAGGCAATGTGTTTGTGTGTCAAATGTCTCTTCCCCAGTTACAAACGACGCGTATAAGATTGCTTGTTCTTGGTCAAGCAGGATACATTTTTCACAATATTAATACTAATCTAATTAATCCTCCTAAAGACAGGGGGCATGGGTGGTCCAGTCTTCTAAGGCACCGCCATTCGCTGTGCAGAGTTGCATCCCTTTGTCACTCCAGAAACCTATGATCGTGGGTTCAAATCCCGGTTCGCCACAATTATGTTTCTAGGTTTGTCAGCACCATAACCGTGCTCATGGGTTTCACCGAAGTGGTAAACGTCTGAGACCTGCATCACTGCGGGCTTTCCTCCCACATTAAGCTGACACACTGTGATATAACTGGAATACTGTTAAAAGCAGCGTTAAACCAAACTCACTCACTCACCCTAAAGAAAGATTTCTATTTAAAGATTTTGTAATTTTTTTGCTTTATTTGTTTGAAAACATTCTGGTTTATTTGGGTACTGATAAAAAAATTCAGAAATGACAAGGTTTTTGCTTTCTATGTTATTGATTATGTCAAAGACATGGTCTCTGATTATGTGGAGAGTCTAAAGTTACCTTCACATTTAACTGCATTATTAGTGATCAGTATTACATATGTCGCAATCAGCATCGCTATAATGACGTTTAAACATTTGTTGTTACATGTAACCAGTTGTAGCCATATACCCCAACTTAAAAAACATAATACAAAAGAGCCTTTGGGGTAAGAAGGTCAAGTTTATTTAATGACATTTTAAATTTTAGTTCATAATAATAATTCAACCATGTTCTGTACCCTTCACAACTGATGGCAGTTATCAACACGATGCCACCTACAACAAATATAAAAAATGACAGTGCCGCTTGTAGCATGCACAAAATAGAAGGGCTAGTTCAACTGGAGTTATCTCCCCTTAATGTAGGTTCCACTAAAACATCTCCAGCAAAATTACCTCCCCTTGACCAGGTTTAAAAATATTAACTGGGATTATTTTCCTCGAAAACCTGACAAAATGTGTGTGTGTTGCAGGTACCTGGTGGACATCAAATGGTTCAAGCAGTGGAAGAAGTTTGTGGGCTACGACAGCTGGGACTCCTGCAGTGTCGGGGATGAAAGCACCAACCCAGGACCGGTAGACAACTCCGCTCTTCTTAAAGGTACAAGTGTATACTGTGTCAACACAGGAAGGCTTTTTCCAACAGCTTGCACAGATAATCCTTGCCGAACTAGATAGAATTCCGGAGTTACATTTTGGCTGGACAAAGGGGCCTGTGCATAGTCCAAATCAAAATCATGTTACGAACTAGACATCTGGTTCGTAAACATTATGGATTTCAACGTGGTCAACTGAAGTATTTGCAAAGCATGTGTACCGCCAACTGGGCGTCGACAGATGTTTTGCAAATCTTTTCATGTTTTTTTATGCACTTAGCGTGGTAAGGGCCATTTTGTTTCAATATAGATCTTGATTATCGATCAGATTGTCTTGACTGGGCGCCGCAATTTTGTTTGAAGCAATTGCATGTGACATCAGAGGTGGAATCTGATTGGTCAGTAGGAGGGACATAACTTGTATTAGCCACTAGTGGCGCTATGATTGAGCCTGGAAATTCCAGACTAGTTCGACAAGGGTGGAAACTGGACTTTTATAGTTACGTAATTCCCTTGCCTCTGGAAGATGGAATCTATCCCTCCAGGTTTTGTTTTTGGGACCATTTGAGAGATATATTGTGTATTTTACCCATAAGGGTATGGTTGTGTGTAAAACCTGTTTGATATTTGAACATGTGATTGGTCAGTTGAAGCCTTAATACATCACAGTGCTTAATTGGTGGGGAAAATATGACACGATGTCATCTATTGTTCCTGATGTCACAAATTCATTGCATGATGTAATCTGAACAATAGGCTGCCTTCATTGAAGTTTATCTGTACGGTTGACCTTTCTTACGCTTTTCTTCATTTTCCCTCTTAAATGTCAATGAGTAATATATATAGAATAATCCACCCGAAACTCGGATTTACGGATTATCTGTCCCTCACCAAAGGCTCAAGATTAACACCATTCATTCACTCGGAACAGGTAATCTGTACTCGTTGGTGGTTGTTTATTCTCTAAGTATTACATATACTTTGACAAGTGAGAATCATGATAAGAAGTTAGCGACCTGTGAATCACTTCAAGGAGTAACAACCATCATTTTTTCATGTATGGACTTCGTCCTTTTAACAGAGCTCCAGATAAGCTGCGTATCTGCGTAAAATACGCATCAGAAATGCAGAAATACGCAGTAAAATAAAATCCAAGCGTATCAAATACGCAACGGACATTACAGATACACTACAAAAATATAGTTTGTGCGTATCATCAAAATATTGTGAATTAACCCTGCGTATTCGATTAGCAAATCAGCAATTTATTTTGAAATTTTAAACGGGCATTCCGTCAACCTTGCCAAACTCCACGATGACAGTTACATCATGATCATTTGCCATCAAACTTTCTTGTGGAAGTATCATGGTATTTTTGAGTCCTATAAAGCTCTCGAACCCACACAACACCAATTTGCAGGGACCAGATGAATAGTGTTTTTTAATATTTAACTTAAATACCCACATGTGTAAAAACTAGTGGGTAACAGAAATTTGAATACCCAGATAGAATTACTGATAGCCAATGATTTTAAAATGCATGGGTAAAATACCCACAACACCAAAAGCTTATCTGGAGCTCTGTTTTAATGTTGCTTCCTAAATGACTGTTGCTACATGAGGTCTAAAGAGCTGTTGCCTTTCTATGCATATAACAAATTGTCATCTCTTGCATGCTCAAGGTGGGGCCTTGAACTAATAGGGTAATATTCATTTGAGGTCAAGAGGTCAAGGTGACTTTGAAGGTCATTCATTCATAAGGTCATGTGTTTTGAGTAGTTTGTCTTGCTGTAGTTCTATTACTGAGTTTGTTGCGACCGTTCTGATTTGGATAAAGTTGATTGATGACAGTGACAGGTGATGAAGAACTGTCACATCATTATTGGGTCACACTAGCCCCCCTTGCATCAGGCTAACAGACACAAGTTTGCAGATGTAAATCATTTGCAAGCATTGTCGAAATAACAAAAATAAGCTATACATGCTAAATGTTCCTTTCAGTAAAGAATGAAGAAAATAACACAAAAAAGGAGGGGAGATCGTGAAAACATTTCACAACTATATGAGGGTGGGGTGGGGGGCCCATGAAGAAATGACATACATGTAGTTCTATTTTTTCAAATAGAGTTTTTAGGGGCGATCGGGTAGCCTAGTGGTTAAAGCGTTAGCTCGTCACGCCGAAGACCCGGGTTCGATTCCCGACATGGGTACAATGTGTGAAGCCCACTTCTGGTGTCCCCCACCGTGATATTGCCGGAATATTGCTAAAAGCGGCGTAAAACCGAACTCACCCAACCCTCAAATAGAGTTTATCTATAAATTGTAACATTATTTAGAAGGTACCGGGATGAGGGGGGGGGGGCATGTAAAAATGTTACATGTATTTGGGGTGGTTGGGCATGAAAATATGTTACATTTATTTGGGGTGGGTTGGGCATGAAAAAATGGTACATGTATTAGGGGTGGGTTGGGCATGAAAAAATGGTACATGTATTTTGGGTGGGTTGGGCATGAAAAAATGGTACATGTATTAGGGGTGGGTTGGGCATGTAAAAATGTTACATGTATTTGGGGTGGGTTGGGCATGAAAAAATGTTACATGTATTTGGGGTGGGTTGGGCATGAAAAAATGGTACATGTATTTGGGGTGGGTTGGGCATGAAAAAATGGTACATGTATTAGGGGTGGGTTGGGCATGTAAAAATGTTACATGTATTTGGGGTGGGTTGGGCATGAAAAAATGGTACATGTATTTGGGGTTTTTGGGCATGAAAAAATGTTACATGTATTTGGGGTGGGCATGAAAATAGGTTACATGTATTTGGGGTTTTTGGGCATGAAAAATTATTACATGTATTTGTGGTGGGCATGAAAATATGTTACATGTATTTGGGGTGGGCATGAAAAAATGTTACATGTATTTGGGGTGGGCATGAAAAAATGTTACATTAAGTGGGGTGGTCAGCAGATATGAGACAGTGGTAAGACCAATCTCGCAAACCCCACCCAAAGACCTTTGAATTTTGTTCACTCTAATATTTTGCCTGTGTTGTAGACAATGGTCAGCTCAAGGAGCACCTCGTGGATGACCTGGACTACACGCTGTTCCCAGCCGAGGCCTGGAACAAGCTGCTGTCCTGGTATGGCATCGTCGAGGGACAGGTGAGCTACCACTTTGTACTCGGGGCTCTCGTGTGGTATTGGTCTCATATTGCTTCAGGAGAATTCTTACTCTATCTTCAAAGTCTGTGAATGATGTGGATGTATATTATAATGAACTTGGCACACCTTTTCACTGGAATGGCAAAGAAAAATCATATGCATTTTGGATGTGTTAAATTGCAAGTTAAACCTTCTCCTGGTCCTGTCACAGTTTGTAATGTTATGTAGCCATGGCTCTCTTTGATGAGAGTCCTATCAGAGCTCCAGATAACTTTTTGAGCAATTGAGTTTTTTCTCAAAGGTTTCTATTTTAATTGGGTTATTTCATTTTTCATAGGTTAACCAATATTCCTTGACTCATCTATTCATCTCCCCCCCCCCCCATTGGGTTTTTCCCAAAATGAGTAAGCATTTTCAGATTTTAAAAAAAATAAGTAATGTTTTAGATGTATATAACGGTCCTAAATATAGGCTTAATTTGGAGAGTAAATTAGCTTGTAATTGTATTTTGGAAAGAGTTGCGTTTTCCATTTAATGCATGCGTTTCTGTATGCAAGGTAATTGAAAGTAATTGGGTTTTGAATAGTTTTTTTGTGGTATTTTACGCAAATACGCAGCTTATCTGTAGCTCTGTCCTGTAGAAATGCAGCATTTCTCCTGTAACACAATATCACAGAATTAAGACAGAATTGATCTGATTTCATAGTAATAAATACGAGAGTATTTCGGGGTGAAAGTTTTCATTCTATGAGACATATGGTATGTGTGTATGTATGTAATGAACGCTCAGTAATTTCTGAGCCAAGAAATTGTTGAGAAATAGTTGTCTTAGCCGTTCGTAGCTGTAGGGCTGGCTATCGATATAGATCTTGAGATCGATAATCACTAAGTATTGATCAATTATGATAAATATTGGAGGAAGAACTTTAAGCAAATATGCAAGAAAGTCCCGAAAGAATTTAACAGATTTCATTTTTTTGGTTATTTTCTTTAATATATCTTCCCGTCGCTGGTAATTACGATACTCGATCTTTTTAGCCAGCCCTACTTAGTTGGGAGTGCGACCCGTGAAGATCCGGGTAGAGAATAGGTCTTCAGCAACCCATGCTTGCAGTAAGAGGCGACTATGCTTGTCGTAAGAGGCAACTAACATGATGGGTTGGTCAGGCTTCCTGACTTGTTCGATGCATATCATCGTATCCCTTGCATGGATCGATGCTCATGATGTCAATCACTGGATTCTTGGTCCAGACTCGATTATTTACAAACCGCCGTCATATAGCTGGAATATTGCTGAGTGTGGCGATAAACAAGAAACAAAGAATAGTTTATTAATGCCAGGTCGTTTATTTCCCTGTCCAGAACCCCATATTGCGGAAGGTTATCGAGCAGGGCATGTTTGTTAAGCACTGTAAGGTGGAGGTCTATCTGTTGGACCTCAAGCTGAGTCCCAACTCGGATCATAACAAGTTCATCACTCGCCAGTTCAGCAGAGCCGATACCATAGGTACAGCTATGTACAGTCGATCCGTGATCGGTTGTGGGTCAGTCGGTTGCATGGCATGGGTGTTGGATCCATGATGTAGTTAGCTACAGATAGATGTTGTACTGTCTGATACACATCAGGGCTTCGACCAATACTTGCACACACAGACAATGTTTGGCAATAGGATATATAAAACATGTATTTAATCTTCTTGATATTTTGCTTTTTATCTCATCATTTCGATATGTTTATAATTTTTGTATGCAAATATTAATTTTGTTATTATTTGTATGCTACAAAATATATATATATATATATATGAAAGATGTGTTTTGAGTTTTATGATGTCTCTATTTTTAAGACATCTTTATGAAATTAAGAAAAAGACTTTTTCTTTATTTGTGTGTGTGCATTCTATGGAAGCCTTGTTGTGTAGTCAGTGTCGTTGCTTGGTGGAACTTAAGAAAGTTGACTTTGAAGTTGAAAATGCTCGCTTTTCTTTCCAACATAACCTTTGAGAATTGTTATTTGAAGTCAGATTTCTTGAAGTCCAGTCTGTGTATAGGGTGTCTGTACTGACCCTTGTGTAGGTCAACACAAGTCCAGTACAGTCATCCGGACGTCCTGAGTACGTCGGCCATGGTGGTCGACATGAGAAACAAGCTTACATCACTATGTCCTCACTCTCTAACAACTCACGCCATCACTAGTATTGTGTGTTCTGCTTCAGGTGTGTCCATACACCTCTCAAACACCTGGGTCATGAATAATTTTAATTGTCTTTTTAAATTCTTTCAAATTTTGTGTACAAAAATTCCTAATCGCATCGACGGAAGCAAACTTGATTTTCTCATTAACGTACCATATACTATGCATCTTGGAGCATTGGCTGAATGAGAGTTGCTGTAAGTGACGACAGGAGTGTTTAGGGAAGTAGTTTCTCTGCCATGATGTAGACTGTCTGTAGTCTTGCATGCTTTTGTTCCTTGCAGGACCCCGTCAGTAGGTGTGTTATTGAGGACGGAATGTATCTGAAACAGCTAAAGGTGGAGGTATACCTCTACAATGTAGTTCTCAGCCGCTATGGCCCACAAAGTAAAGAACAATCACTGACAAGAGATGTCAGTCGAGCAGCCACCATAGGTACACCTCAGTTCACTGTTACGGTTATGACTACCATCAACTGTTTACTTCCCGACTGTTGCGTTTTTTGTTTGCCATTGCGTCAGTCTAGTTGTTTTACTCAGGCCTTGTGTTTTTAATCACTTGGTTTACACATCTGGCTTTTCCAAATCCATAGTCGTTACTGAAAAACATATTTTTATAGTTATTTCATAAATTCGATCATCAGCGAACCTCCAAACCCCAATAGTTTTTTTAATTGAAAATCAGTTGGTTACTTCCTTTCTTCTATTTACATAATTTTGTGACCCGTGAAGATCCGGGATAGAAAAGGTCTTCAGCAACCCATGCTGGCCGTAAAAGGCGACTATGTTTGTCGTAAGAGGCGACTAACGGGATCGGGTGGTTAGGCTCACTGACTTGGTTGATGCATGTCATCGATCCCAACTGTGTGGATTGATGCTCATGATGTCAATCACTGGATTGTTTGGTCCAGACTCGATTATTTACAGACCGCCTTCATATAGCTGGAATATTGCTGAGTGGGGCGTTAAACAACATAATTTTGTAAGTTTCTTTCATGATAATCAACAGTCTGTAGGAAGGATAAAAACTGTTTTCATTTTCATTTGTTTTTAGTATTGGCTCGTCAGATTTGTAGACCAAGTAATTAAACGTGCCTCGTTGCATACTGGTAGAAGGGCGATATACAGGATATTCCTTGGTGGTTGACAAAGACATTGTTTCTCATCGAGTGGCCTGGTTAGAATTGATATCTTGCCACACACTGAGATGAAATAAATAGTACATATACCCTGATGACACATTCAACATTCTATTTCTTAAGAGTGAAGTTGTTTTTGTGTGATGTTACTTTAGCAACTAAATACTTGAACAGAAGCCTCTTTAGGACCAAACCACTTCCATGCGAGTACTCATTTGATATTGAAAATAGTTCCAACTTTTGAGACAAAACAAAAATTAGAACAAAACTTGTATGATTTAATTTATGCCTCTAACCTGAAGATGGGTAGGAATGATGTTTGTTTTTTAAACGAACCTTTCAAATGACAGTGTAAGATGGTTGTTTGTCATCAATAGAGAATAGATTGACTGGGGACATTCAGGGTGGACAAGTGACACTTCCTTGTGGATTTATACCATTAGGTAGATGGCAACGAAGCAGAGAAGATGTTGCAGACCACTAAAAATTATGTTAAATGTCACCACTCTTGACAAAGACAATATCAATTTATCATCTGTAGGCAGACATAAGGGATTTACCTCAATGATTTCACTATTTCACTGCCATCTATATCAAATAGATCATTTTTAAACATCCTAGCTCACACACAGTGTATTTATGATAAAAATTTACAAATTTACAAATGACTGCATTGTCTGGAGTCTTTGATTTTGGGGAAACTTCTCTGCTTGCATTCTTGGAAGTGAAAGTTATGCATGCCACATTTCTCTGTCGGAAACCATCTTGAACATTTGGCTCGTTTGGATACATGTCGATTCCTGTAACACATATTAAGAAGAAATACTCAGTTGTCAAGAAGAATGTGCTGTGGTTACCATGGTTATACGGAAAATGTTAGACAGGTACTATTAGGCATGTTGGGCTAGTAGATATTGGATTCTTTATGTCCTTATTCAGAGAAATGCTGAGAAAATAATGTGCTTTCCCACAGTTTTGAAAATATTTTTAAATCAATACAGATATATAAGAATCAAGTGCCATTATTTACACATTATCTATGCATATCTATTATGTATGAAATTTTCTTCTACTCGCTGCTTGATGTGCTAGAACGTTTAATTTTGATTTAAAGATGAGAAGTTAGATAAAGTTTGAAATAAGAAGTAAGCTTTTATTGATAGTATTTAAGTTCATATGATGAATTGAATGTCAGTGCACCTGTAGATGATATAGGTGAATGTGACGCTGTAACAAGACTGCAGACAGTGTGCCAATGGTGTACATGTGCCCAGACCAGATGCTGTTTGTGTTGCACTGATGCTATTCCTACTAACCAGCTTGCATGATGTTTCCCTGTCAGAGAGTGTGGTCATGCTTCTAAGTCATGAGATTTGTTCATTGTCTGTTTATTGGTATTCTGTTGTTCACTGTCATTATTTGATGTCGAGTCCTGGAAGCAATTCCCACTTAGTGGCCTGAAAAGTTGGCAGTGGTCTTTTTCCATGTTAGATGGTTCAGAATGTTCAATTTTGTCAAAACGAGAAGAAAACATGGTAAAATAACTTTTGTTTTTTAAATTATCGTTTTGGCCTTTAGAGGGGAAAGTTCAAATATTTTCCTGTTTTGCTATTATTTGTCCTTGAAAAGATTTGACAAGACTCAAAATCCTTGACTCAGCAAGCATGACGACCGAACAACATGTCAATGTACACATCATGTATTGAGATGTGGGTGCATCTTGCCACTTTTAGAAAGTGAATCTTTTGATGCACTGAATGTGTCTAGTATCTCAATTTTCCAACATTCTCACGTTTCTATTCCACCCTTACCCAACACATTTTTTCCATCTCATCCCTTCTATACAAAGTCATACAGTTTTGTATCCATCAAGTTGTGCTTGCAAGCTCTAAACAAACAGCAGTATGTAAAAATCACCTGTTGGGTGGTGACTTGACTGGTTGTGTGTCATCTCTACGGATTACCGTTGTCCTGGGCGCCGTTCCACAAAGCGATTGTAGCGCTACGACTGTCGTGAGTTAAGTATGGGTTACGATCATCTTAGCGCTACTTTCACCTTGTGGAGTGGTGCCCTGGTCCCGGCTGCCGTGATATGGCGGGAATATTGCTGACTGCAGCACACATCAAATAAAACAAGACAACATATTGAATTTTATTAAGTTCCAATATTGCAATTCCCAATCATGATTTGGCTCGTAGCTCACCTTTTCTTTATTGTTTAACGCTGCACTCAACAATATTCCAGCGGCGGCGGCCTGAAAATAGCTCACCTGATCCTCCCCCTCCATCTGCTCTGTCCAGTACATTTAATGTGGTCAGCTGGTTCCCGCTATCCATCTCTACCTTCTCCTCCAGTAGTGTAGACAATAACAACCGTAACCTGATGACACAACATATGTTTGAGTTAATAATTACAAAGGTCTAGAATATTAGATGTTGTAATTGTAGTTACGTTGATTTGTAAGTGAGGTTCGGTTGACACCTTATTAAGAATTGTATTTTACTTGTAATATATCCTGAAAGATAAAGAGTTGCGTCTGTCTTGGATTTGATATTTTACTGGTAATATGACCAGCAGCCGATTTGCTTTTTCAAAGTTGTATCTGTATAATATACCAGACACTTGTAGTCAGTTAACTCCCTTGCCTTGGGAAGATGGAGAAATGTGTTAAGTCAATGATTTCATTGGAAGTGGTGTCGTCCAGATTAACAAGGTTTCATTGTATGCTAGTGTTTGAATATGGAGTTGTAAGAACCTTGACCTGTCCTTGACCTGTCCTTGACCTTGACCTGTATCCATGTGTTGTGCAGCTGAGCTGGAGAAGATGATGAGGCAGGAGTTCAGCATCTCGGAGGACAAGGAGGTGAGGCTGTGGAACCGGTACATGAGCTCCACCTACGAGCACCTCAACAAGCCCGACAACACGCTGCAGGATGCGGGACTCTACCAGGGACAGGTAAACATGACCAGCGGGGCGGGCGTTCAAGTGTAGGAGGGAGGGCACGATGTCGTCCTGCGCCTTCTTCCATTCAGCCTGCTGATGGGGTTAACCCCTTCATCATGTGGACAAGGTGTCTGGCCTCAGTTGAGTAGGTTCATGCTTTGTTGTGGATGTTGCCGAAGACCCGGTTTCAATTCCCCACATGAGTACAACGTGTGAAGCCCATTTCTGATGTCCCCCGCCATGATATTGCTGGAATATTGCTAAAAGCGGTGTAAAACCAAACTCACTCACTCACTCACTATACCAAACCACCAAACCAAATCCGGGATAGAATAGGTCTTCAGCAACCCATGCTTGCCGAAAAAGGCGACTGTGCGTGTCGTAAGAGGCAACTAATGGGATCGGGTAGTCAGGCTCGCTGGTTGGGTGGTCATGCTCATGATATCAATCACTGGATCGTCTGGTCCATACTCACTCACTCTTTTCGCCCCTTTCCAGGTGATTGTTATTGAGGAGAAGAATGAAGATGGTACCTGGCCACGACAAGCAAAAAGGTATGTCATCAGACCATGTACCATGTTCTGTCTAATACTATTTCCTCATACCTACTGATGAAGTGAGATGTATCCCCTCACATGTGTGGGTTTGAATGTGTCCTTCACAAAACTCCAGGTGATGTAACTTTAAAAAATGTCTTCATATGGAAATAATGTGAGGTGTGACTGCACGTACATGTGCCACATTGTTATTTGCAGCACAAGTAGCTACAACTCCACCGGCTCCTATGAACGCTCGTCCTACACAACCAGGTACGTATGTGGACACACACCTGAATTATGAGCACCCATGAAGATCTTGGTTGGAATAGCTCGTCAGCAACCCATGCTTGCCGTAAAAGACGAGTAACTGGATTGGGTGTTCATCCTCGCTGACTTGGTTGATGCATCTCATTGTATCTCAAATGCTTGTTTGATAGGCATTACTTAGAAGTTGGCGGATGATAAGATAGACACAATTTTATGGATAACAACTTCTTAAATACTGTAAAAAGCGACGTTTCGGTATAGATCCTTATACCGTTGTCAAGCAAGACTGAATGAGGGACATAGTGCAGAATATATATAGCAAGTGGAGGATTAACAGGAGAGGATTAACAGTAGAGGATTAACAGTAACAACAAGGGCATACATGAGTGGGATAACATAGGTAGGTGTGACAACAAGGATGATGCTATCACAACACGATGGACAGAAAACACATAGCTAGAAGCCAATTGGGCATGAAGCCAATAAACAGGTGATTATTGTTTGATGAGTTCATAGTAGGCGGATGGGATGAAATAGCCTTGATCTCTGTTGATTGATGGGTTGTGGCGGCGAATGTGGACTGCTTCTGTTAGTTTTCTTTTGGTGAAATCATGGAGGTTGTTGGCGAGGATTTGGACGTTGTCCCAGTTGATGATGTGATTGGGACAGTTAATCCTCCACTTGCTATATATATTCTGCACTATGTCCCTCATTCAGTCTTGCTTGACAACGGTATAACTATCTATACCGAAACGTCGCTTTTTACAGTATTAAAGAAGTTGTTATCCATAAAATTGTGTCTATCTTGTATCTCAATTGTGTGGATATGATTATTTACAAACCGCCGTCATATAGCTGGAATAATGCTGAGTGCGGCGTTAAACAACAAACGGATCGAATTGTGCGTATATCACAGCTTTAGATACCCCACCATCTGTACAGTTTCCAGTGTACTGCCTGAACATCAGTAGAGCATTAACAGAATGACTGTTTATAATCAACCATGCTAACTTGTCAGTGGCTTGTTGATTGCACAGTTCGTTATTTACAGTCAGCCATGATAAAGCTGGAATAGTGCCGACTGTGGCTAATCACATTCATTTTCCTTGGGCATCTGGGGACTGAAGTCACTGACTGTTTTCTGAGCAGGTGTAGAACGCATGAAATCAAACATTGCCTATTTCAAAAACATCATGGCATCATATCATTTCTTTTCTGCTTTAAACCCCCCTCAAAACAGATATTCTGATATCCAGACAGTGTTAGAAATTGGCACTAGTCCTATGGTCCTTGCCAAACTGCCCAATAGTTAAGGTATCACAAGGACTAGTAGAAATTGCCCATTATCAAGGGTTTTGCTATATGTTATAAGGACTGGTAGACTAAAACAGTTTATAACGCTGCCAGATAGAACCGATTTTGACAGTAATGCATGCAGAAGTTTTGTATGTAGAGGCCATTGTGAAGCCACAAGGTCATTGATGATTGTACCGTCTGTCTCCCCTTTTCCTCATTGTGCTTGCACTGTGTCTCCAGATCGGGTGGCGGCTATGGCGGTGGTTCCGGTAACTACGAGTCAGGCTACAGTTACGGCAGCTATGACTCTGGCTACAGTAAAGGCAGCGGCGCCGCCAACCCTGGACTGTGTGGACTGGCCAACCTCGGCAACACCTGCTTCATGAACTCTGCCCTGCAGGTGAGCTGCTCGTCTCCCTCATCTATTGTAGTAGTGATGCAGGGGCGGTTCCAGTGTGTGAGCAACATGCCCCTTGTAATGGTGTAACTGTTGTAGTGTGTGAGCAACGTGTCCCTTGTAATGGTGTAACTGTTTCAGTGTGTGAGCAACATGCCCCTTGTAATGGTGTAACTGTTTCAGTGTGTGGGCAACCTGCCCCTTGTAATGGTGTAACTGTTTCAGTGTGTGAGCAACGTGCCCCTTGTAATGGTGGTAACTGTTTCAGTGTATGAGCAACGTGCCCCTTGTAATGGTGTAACTGTTTCAGTCCGAGAGCAATGTGACCCTTGTAATGGTGTAACTGTTTCAGTGTGAGAGCAACATGCCTCTTGTAATGGTGTAACTGTTTCAGTGTGAGAGCAACGTGCCCCTTGTAATGGTGTAACTGTTTCAGTGTGTGAGCAACATGCCTCTTGTAATGGTGTAACTGTTTCAGTATATGAGCAACATGCCCCTTGTAATGGTGTAACTGTTTCAGTGTGTGAGCAACGTGCCCCTTGTAATGGTGTAACTGTTTCAGTGTATGAGCAACGTGCCCCTTGTAATGGTGTAACTGTTTCAGTGTATGAGCAACATGCCCCTTGTAATGGTGTAACTGTTTCAGTGTGAGAGCAACGTGCCCCTTGTAATGGTGTAACTGTTTCAGTGTATGAGCAACATGCCCCTTGTAATGGTGTGACTGTTTCAGTGTATGAGCAACGTGCCCCTTGTAATGGTGTAACTGTTTCAGTGTATGAGCAACGTGTCCCTTGTAATGGTGTTACTGTTTCAGTGTGTGAGCAACGTGCCCCTTGTAATGGTGTAACTGTTTCAGTGTATGAGCAACGTGCCCCTTGTAATGGTGTAACTGTTTCAGTGTGTGAGCAACGTGCCCCTTGTAATGGTGTAACTGTTTCAGTGTATGAGCAACATGCCCCTTGTAATGGTGTAACTGTTTCAGTGTATGAGCAACGTGCCCCTTGTAATGGTGTAACTGTTTCAGTCCGAGAGCAATGTGACCCTTGTAATGGTGTTACTGTTTCAGTGTGTGAGCAACATGCCTCTTGTAATGGTGTAACTGTTTCAGTGTGAGAGCAACGTGCCCCTTGTAATGGTGTAACTGTTTCAGTGTGAGAGCAACATGCCCCTTGTAATGGTGTAACTGTTTCAGTGTGAGAGCAACATGCCCCTTGTAATGGTGTAACTGTTTCAGTGTGAGAGCAACGTGCCCCTTGTAATGGTGTAACTGTTTCAGTGTATGAGCAACGTGCCCCTTGTAATGGTGTAACTGTTTCAGTGTATGAGCAACGTGCCCCTTGTAATGGTGTAACTGTTTCAGTGTATGAGCAACGTGCCCCTTGTAATGGTGGTAACTGTTTCAGTGTGAGAGCAACGTGCCCCTTGTAATGGTGTAACTGTTTCAGTGTATGAGCAACGTGCCCCTTGTAATAGTGGTAACTGTTTCAGTGTGAGTGCAACATGCCCCTTGTAATGGTGGTAACTGTTTCAGTGTATGAGCAATGTGCCCCTTGTAATGGTGTAACTGTTTCAGTGTATGAGCAACGTGCCCCTTGTATTGGTGTAACTGTTCCAGTGTGTGAGCAATGTGCCCCTTGTATTGGTGTAACTATTTCAGTGTATGAGCAACGTGCCCCTTGTAATGGTGTAACTGTTTCAGTGTATGAGCAACGTGCCCCTTGTATTGGTGTAACTGTTCCAGTGTGTGAGCAACGTGCCCCTTGTAATGGTGTAACTGTTTCAGTGTATGAGCAACGTGCCCCTTGTAATGGTGTGACTGTTTCAGTGTATGAGCAACGTGCCCCTTGTAATGGTGTAACTGTTTCAGTGTGTGAGCAACGTGCCCCTTGTAATGGTGTAACTGTTTCAGTGTATGAGCAACGTGCCCCTTGAAATGGTGGTAACTGTTTCAGTGTATGAGCAACGTGCCCCTTGTAATGGTGGTGACTGTTTCAGTGTATGAGCAACGTGCCCCTTGTAATGGTGTAACTGTTTCAGTGCATGATCAACGTGCCCCTTGTAATGGTGTAACTGTTTCAGTGTGTGAGCAACATGCCCCTTGTAATGGTGTAACTGTTTCAGTGTGTGAGCAACGTGCCCCTTGTAATGGTGTAACTGTTTCAGTGTGTGAGCAACGTGTCCCTTGTAATGGTGTAACTGTTTCAGTATATGAGCAACGTGCTCCTTGTAATGGTGTAACTGTTTCAGTGTGTGAGCAACATGCCCCTTGTAATGGTGTAACTGTTTCAGTATATGAGCAACATGCCCCTTGTAATGGTGTAACTGTTTCAGTGTGTGAGCAATGTGCCCCTTGTAATGGTGTAACTGTTTCAGTGTGTGAGCAACATGCCCCTTGTAATGGTGTAACTGTTTCAGTGTGTGAGCAACATGCCCCTTGTATATGTAACTGTTTCAGTGTGAGAGCAACATGCCCCTTGTAATGGTGTAACTGTTTCAGTGTATCAGCAACGTGCCCCTTGTAATGGTGTAACTGTTTCAGTGTATGAGCAACGTGCCCCTTGTAATGGTGTAACTATTTCAGCGTGTAAGCAACATGCCCCTTGTAATGGTGGTAACTGTTTCAGTGTGTGAGCAACGTGCCCCTTGTAATGGTGTAACTGTTTCAGTGTGAGAGCAATGTGACCCTTGTAATGGTGTTACTGTTTCAGTGTGTGAGCAACATGCCTCTTGTAATGGTGTAACTGTTTCAGTGTGAGAGCAACGTGCCCCTTGTAATGGTGTAACTGTTTCAGTGTGAGAGCAACATGCCCCTTGTAATGGTGTAACTGTTTCAGTGTGAGAGCAACATGCCCCTTGTAATGGTGTAACTGTTTCAGTGTGAGAGCAACGTGCCCCTTGTAATGGTGTAACTGTTTCAGTGTATGAGCAACGTGCCCCTTGTAATGGTGTAACTGTTTCAGTGTATGAGCAACGTGCCCCTTGTAATGGTGGTAACTGTTTCAGTGTGAGAGCAACGTGCCCCTTGTAATGGTGTAACTGTTTCAGTGTATGAGCAACGTGCCCCTTGTAATAGTGGTAACTGTTTCAGTGTGAGTGCAACATGCCCCTTGTAATGGTGGTAACTGTTTCAGTGTATGTGCAACGTGCCCCTTGTAATGGTGTAACTGTTTCAGTGTATGAGCAACGTGCCCCTTGTATTGGTGTAACTGTTCCAGTGTGTGAGCAACGTGCCCCTTGTATTGGTGTAACTGTTTCAGTGTATGAGCAACGTGCCCCTTGTAATGGTGGTAACTGTTTCAGTGTGAGAGCAACGTGCCCCTTGTAATGGTGGTAACTGTTTCAGTGTGTAAGCAACATGCCCCTTGTAATGGTGTAACTGTTTCAGTGTATGAGCAACGGGACCCTTGTAATAGTGGTAACTGTTTCAGTGTGAGTGCAACATGCCCCTTGTAATGGTGGTAACTGTTTCAGTGTATGTGCAACGTGCCCCTTGTAATGGTGTAACTGTTTCAGTGTGAGAGCAACGTGCCCCTTGTATTGGTGTAACTGTTCCAGTGTGTGAGCAACGTGCCCCTTGTAATGGTGTAACTGTTTCAGTGTATGATCAACGTGCCCCTTGTAATGGTGTAACTGTTTCAGTGTGAGAGCAACATGCCCCTTGTAATGGTGTAACTGTTTCAGTGTGAGAGCAACGTGCCCCTTGTAATGGTGTAACTGTTTCAGTGTATGAGCAACGTGCCCCTTGTAATGGTGTAACTGTTTCAGTGTATGAGCAACGTGCCCCTTGTAATGGTGTAACTGTTTCAGTGTATGAGCAACGTGCCCCTTGTAATGGTGGTAACTGTTTCAGTGTGAGAGCAACGTGCCCCTTGTAATGGTGTAACTGTTTCAGTGTATGAGCAACGTGCCCCTTGTAATAGTGGTAACTGTTTCAGTGTGAGTGCAACATGCCCCTTGTAATGGTGGTAACTGTTTCAGTGTATGTGCAACGTGCCCCTTGTAATGGTGTAACTGTTTCAGTGTATGAGCAACGTGCCCCTTGTATTGGTGTAACTGTTCCAGTGTGTGAGCAACGTGCCCCTTGTATTGGTGTAACTGTTTCAGTGTATGAGCAACGTGCCCCTTGTAATGGTGTAACTGTTTCAGTGTATGAGCAACGTGCCCCTTGTAATGGTGGTAACTGTTTCAGTGTGAGAGCAACGTGCCCCTTGTAATGGTGTAACTGTTTCAGTGTATGAGCAACGTGCCCCTTGTAATAGTGGTAACTGTTTCAGTGTGAGTGCAACATGCCCCTTGTAATGGTGGTAACTGTTTCAGTGTATGTGCAACGTGCCCCTTGTAATGGTGTAACTGTTTCAGTGTATGAGCAACGTGCCCCTTGTATTGGTGTAACTGTTCCAGTGTGTGAGCAACGTGCCCCTTGTATTGGTGTAACTGTTTCAGTGTAAGAGCAACATGCCCCTTGTAATGGTGTAACTGTTTCAGTGTATGAGCAACGTGCCCCTTGTATTGGTGTAACTGTTCCAGTGTATGAGCAACGTGCCCCTTGTAATGGTGTAACTGTTTCAGTGTATGATCAACGTGCCCCTTGTAATGGTGTAACTGTTTCAGTGTGTGAGCAACATGCCCCTTGTAATGGTGTAACTGTTTCAGTGTGTGAGCAACGTGCCCCTTGTAATGGTGTAACTGTTTCAGTGTGTGAGCAACGTGTCCCTTGTAATGGTGTAACTGTTTCAGTATATGAGCAACGTGCCCCTTGTAATGGTGTAACTGTTTCAGTGTGTGAGCAACATGCCCCTTGTAATGGTGTAACTGTTTCAGTGTGTGAGCAACGTGCCCCTTGTAATGGTGTAACTGTTTCAGTGTATGAGCAACGTGCCCCTTGTAATGGTGTGACTGTTTCAGTGTATGAGCAACGTGCCCCTTGTAATAGTGTAACTGTTTCAGTGTATGAGCAACGTGCCCCAGCTGACGGACCATATGATGGATGACAAGAAGTGGGAGAAGGAGCTGAACGAGGACAACCCGCTCGGCAACAAGGGGGAGATCGCAAAGTCCTACGCTGAGCTCATCAAGACGATGTGGTCAGGAAGGTACAGCTACACGGTACCCAGGAACTTCAAGGTGAGACTGCGGACTGTGACCAATGTATGACAAGCTCACACACATCCATGCACGTCGTAATGAAAGTGCAATAATCTTCGACGCGACAATTAACTCCATTTCACCTCACCTCACCTCACCTGTGTCGACACATCATATTGTTATGCCTCTAATAATAATCTTGTAATTCCATTGGTTATTCCGTACCACATGACGAAAAAATACATTAGTCCCCCAAATCATGTAACTGACACTGACCTTGAATATTTTCTCGTCACATGATTAGTTTGACCTTTCACGTGATGAATATTGACTCGTCTAGAGAGCAAGATTGTGTCTGGTACGAACATTTCACGGTTTGCAGCTAAGTTAAAGTAATCAAAGAAATACAAAGATATGTGTATATGTCTTTGCTGTAATGAAACAGGTGACGGTTTAAAGGCTTCGTTAACTTTTAAGGGAATTTCGCTATAACAGAACAAATAATTAGTCTGACGAGGTCATTTTCAGAAAACAAGGAAACTTGGTCTGGTCAGACCACCTGGGGTCGTCTCCTCGGGTCGTTGACCTCGTCAAGGCTAATTATTTGTTTTATGTTAAATGGAGAAGATGAAACAGCGGAACTAGTGGCTGCTGTGTTTTTATGGTGATACCTTGATCGCAGGAGCTTTAATACTTGCAAGAATAGAGAGGGGAGACGAGATTTGATAAAATTCCTTTTGGTAGATGAGATTTTGTATGAACCATATCTGTACGTGCAGGTGGCAGTGGGCCGGTTCGCACCCCAGTTTTCTGGCTACCAACAGCAGGACTCGCAGGAACTGATGGCATTCCTGCTGGACGGGCTGCACGAAGACATGAACCGGATTCGGAAGAAGCCCTACGTGGAGCTGAAGGATGACGACGGACGGCCAGACTCGGTCAGTCCCTAGTCCACATGGTGGTGGAAGCCACGATATGGCCACAGAGATGCACACTGCCATTTCTATTAACTATAATTAATTATAAATAAGCTCAGCATTTATACTTGTCAGAGGGGTACACAAAGTACGTGATCTAGACTACCAGTTGTCAGACTTTCATTTTTGTGGAAGCCTCGGTGGCTGAGTGGGTTAGACCGCTGACTTTGTGTGCTGGCGATTAGATGCCTCACTCTGGCAAGTGTGGGTTCGAATCCCGGACGGGACTCAACCATAAAAAGTACAAGAATCTGTACTTTACTAAGAAAGTGTTATCCCAAATATTACAATTGTTACAAACTTATGGTTGATTTGAAATTTGCAGTGTTATAAAGAAAAGCGATTACCATACATGTTGGTTAATAAGACCTACTCATATTCAAGAGATATTATATTGGTTCTATACACAAACGAACACACTGCTATGTTGTGTGAACCGATGTTCATGTACACATCACATGTGACGTCATAGATCCATGACTTGAGATGCACCATTTTTCTTGTGTAAGATTAGTGTGTAAAGTTTGGAAATCATATGTGGCAAATCGTGATAAGAATTAAGTCACTAACTGGTAACAACTTGACTGATATTAGTTTTGTCATTAATTGGTACACATTAGAAAAATCTCTTCTTAACAAACATTCTTTTCTATATGTTTCTGACCCGTGAGGATTCGGGGTAGAACAGGTCTTCAGCAACCCATGCTTGCCGTAACAGGCTACTACGCTTGTCGTTACACGCGACTTAAGGGATCAATAGGATCAGTCACTAGATGCTACAAAGCATTCCTCTTTTGTATCTTGAGATGTAACAGTTTCTGTGTGTTTATGGTCTGTCGTCTCTCTTTCCAGATGGTGGCAGCAGAGGCGTGGGACAATTACCGTAAAAGGAATGATTCAATCATTGTCGACATATTTCACGGACTTCTCAAATCCACTGTGCAGTGTCCTGAGTGTTCCAAAATCTCTGTGACCTTTGACCCGTTCTGTTACCTCTCTCTGCCCCTCCCCATCAAGAAAGAACGCCAGATGGAAGTGTTCTGGGTGCCCCTCGCCCCCAAGGCGAAGCCCGTGCAGGTCGGTACCTGATTGTCTGGTTATAAGGATGTGATCCTTGGGATTCATTGGGTGGTGGTAGGGCTGTAACGATTCACCGATACCTTTGATATCATCGATACTTAAGTACATACAATACTTGAAGCGTTGCTATAAATAGAACAAGTACTAATAGAGTTACCTCCCATGATGACAGAAGTAGCACAGCGCCACCTGTGAGCATGGCAGAACAGAAAGATGTAGCTGAGAAGTGTGACTTATTTAGTGTCACCCAGGGCTGACAGTGGAATAATGCTCATGCTGTCGACCACTGATTTGTATTGACCAGACTCTGTTATTTACAAGCTACCAGACCGCCTCCGTGGTCTAGTGGTAGAGCGTCCGCCCGGAGCGTCATGCCAAAAGACGTTAAAAGATGGTACTTGTTGTTACCCTGTCTGGCGCTCGGCATTAAGGGGCTAAAACAAGGACTGGTCGGCTTGGAGTCAGTATACTGTGGCTGAGTGGGGTATTCATGTTAAACTGTGGCATGGTATCTCAGTGAGCTAGCACTATAAATCGGCATCAGTCCGGACTAGTACAAGCAGCCACACAAACACACACACGTACATGCACATCGCTATATAAGTGCAATAATCTTGGACGCGACGTTAAACCCCATTTCACCTCACCTCACCTACAAGCTACCATGACCATGCTATGAGTATGGCATAAAACAACGTTCATTCAGTCAAGCCTTCCTGAAGAAGTTCTGTTCCCTAAGTAACTGTTATTCCCAAACCATTTTCAAAAAAGTTTTATTGTTGATGTCATTTGCTCATTGTTATTGCCAAGAGAACCAGAATTGTTTGCTAAATGTTGGAAGTGCCTGTAGCACGGGGATGTCCTTCACACAGAGGCTTCGGTCATCCTCAGTCATATTGTTTCTGTTTTCAGTTCAAACTGACCGTTCCTAAGATGGGTATTGTTGGAGACATCTGCAAGGCGTTGTCCTCATTTGTAGGTGTGCCATCAGAAAAGGTGAGTCTGTTGCTTATGAAGGATTCCTCTGAATGTACTGTAAATCTGTACTGTAAATCTGGAAATTAATGCGTCTCCAAAGTAATAGGAGTGCTGACCCCTTGCCAATAATGTGACTCAATATCAATGTGCCTTCCCCCACCCCACCCAATTGGAATGATGCATATCCTTACCTTAATTTAACCTTACCTTAAGGCTAAAAAAATAATAGGCTTGGTTCTCAGGCACTGCCCACATCATCATAAAGTTCATTTCACGGATCAATTTTGTTTCCATTTTCAATTTTTTTTGTGCATTGTGTTTAAGTATTAGGATTTTTATATTTTTATTTGAATGAGTTTGACGTGTGGGTAGAACTCTCGACCCAAGCATTGATAACTTACTTGATGCCTATTATGTAATTCCTTTTCTTTGAATGACATTGTTATATACTTGTTACAACTGCTAGTCAATAAACTGTGTTTATGTTTGTGTTTATGTTCAAGTTGGTATTTCCGCTGTCCAAAGTGTGAAGTGACGCCGTCTTATTGTTGATTTTGGAGACATAAATGCGAAGGTTCATTAAGGCGAACAAAGACCACTTGCATTTTTCGCATTTAAATCACGCTCACATTAGTTTCAAGATTTACAGTATACGTGTAGAGAACAAGAGGCTGTCAGTGACTGATAATATGAAATAGGATCTCAAGGAAACATTGATGCAAATTTGGTCCTTTTCTGGTCGTCTTGAAACCAGAAACCAGAATTTTAATTGGAAGCTTCAAAATAATACCCTTTTCCCTTGATAAACCCTATTGGCTGCTCTGTGGATAGTATTGCTTGTGTTTCGTCAGTGTATGTTACTGTGTGTTCAAGGCTCTCAAGTTAGACCGTTTCATGAGTGTATGTTTCTGTGTGTTCAAGGCTCTCAAGTTAGACCGTTTCGTGAGTGTATGTTACTGTGTGTTCAAGGCTCTCAAGTTAGACCGTTTCGTGAGTGTATGTTACTGTGTGTTCAAGGCTCTCAAGTTAGACCATTTTGTGAGTATGTTACTGTGTGTTCAAGGCTCTCAAGTTAGACTGTTTCGTCAGTGTATGTTACTGTGTGTTCAAGGCTCTCAAGTTAGACCGTTTCGTCAGTGTATGTTACTGTGTGTTTAAGGCTCTCAAGTTAGACTGTTTCGTCAGTGTATGTTACTGTGTGTTCAAGGCTCTCAAGTTAGACTGTTTCGTCAGTGTATGTTACTGTGTGTTCAAGGCTCTCAAGTTAGACCGTTTCGTCAGTGTATGTCAGTGTGTGTTCAAGGCTCTCAAGTTAGACCGTTTCGTCAGTGTATGTCACTGTGTGTTCAAGGCTCTCAAGTTAGACCGTTTCGTCAGTGTATGTTACTGTGTGTTCAAGGCTCTCAAGTTAGACCGTTTCGTCAGTGTATGTTACTGTGTGTTCAAGGCTCTCAAGATAGACTGTTTCGTGAGTGTATGTTACTGTGTGATCAAGGCTCTCAAGTTAGACTGTTTTCGTGAGTGTATGTTACTGTGTGTTCAAGGCTCTCAAGTTAGACCGTTTCGTGAGTGTATGTTACTGTGTGTTCAAGGCTCTCAAGTTAGACCGTTTCGTCAGTGTATGTTACTGTGTGTTCAAGGCTCTCAAGTTAGACCGTTTCGTCAGTGTATGTTACTGTGTGTTCAAGGCTCTCAAGTTAACCTGTTTAATGTTGTGTTGCAGATGGTAGTCACAGACGTGTATAACCACAGATTTCACCGAGTCTTTGCCCTCGAGGAAGGCCTCAACCACATCCTAGATAGAGACGATATATTTGTGTAAGTTCTCTTCTGCGTGCTGGCATTATGGCACTCATCACGTTTGGATAAGGTGCAGGGTCCACTTGCACGAACAGATCTTAGCGCTAAGATGATCGTAACTCCCATTCTGTAACGTACGTTTATGATACTCGTCTCGCTAAGATCACTTTGTTGGTCCTGGCCATAATGTGTTTTGAAATATTGAATACATGTGATGTTGTCTTGATTTTTGTGTTCTCTGTTTGTAGGACAGGTGTGTGTATGAAGGGGAGATAACTTGCAATGTCTATGTGATTGCCTCCCTTGCAATGTCTATGCGATTGCCTCCCTTGCAATGTCTATGCGATTGCCTCCCTTAGACTTTGATTTTCATGTATGTGATGGTTTCAGATATGAGGTGCCAGTGAATACTGCTGAGGATCCCAACACACTCATCGTCCCCATCTATCTCCGGGAGAAACGGTAAGGAGCACTTAGTCTCACTGCAAATGGACAATAATTCCCACCTCTGGGATGATACAGAGAGAAAGTTACACCTGGTTTTAATGTTTTGAGTGTGACCTACTTTGAGGTTCACAACACAATTCCAGACAGAGTAATTCCTATACGTAAGAGCTGTATCTGGGTAAGGTGATTGTGACGGATGACTTGATTGTGTCATTATACCCTGACTACATGGGTCGGTGCTGTTACAGTGATAGAAACTAACTGTTTTAGTCCACTACCCTCATTATGATATATTGACGATTGTGTGTCATTGTTGATCAGTGGCCTGGGACCGTGCTCGTATATCAATCACTTGTTCATCTGGCAGAGACAATACTAAAAGTGTCACGATATAGCTGGAACATTAGACTTCGGCGCACAACAGCAACAAACAACAATACAAAGTGATTGAAAAGTTGTGTACATTCCAGGTCGTCGGGCAAGGACGCCTACGTGTCCAGTAACCAGCTGTTTGGTCAGCCCCTCCTCCTGCCAGTACCCAAGGGGACCTGTAGCTATGAAGAACTCTACAACCTGCTCCTGCAAAGAATGTCGTAAGTATCGCTTTACATAGTCAGTGTAAACAAAGATATTCACGACTGCTCATATCCCTTTGTTTCTGCAGAACATTTTCTCATATTGCTATTAGCATCATATCTCACTGGCCTAGATTTAAATATATTGTAACTTGTTCCTCACACAACAGTATGCAATATTCCTTATTTCTTCAATTATATGGGGGGCACGGGTGGCCCAGTCGTCTAAGGCTCCGCGATTCGCTGTGCAGAGTTGCGTCCCTTGGGCACGCCAGAAACTTATGATTGTGGGTTCGAATCCCGGTTCGCCCCGATTATGTTTCTAGGTTTGTCAGCACCATACCCGTGCTCGTGGGTTTCACCGAAGTGGTAAACGTCTGAGACCTGCATTACTTCGGGCTTTGCTCCCACATTAAGCTGACACGCCGTGATATATAGTCTGTCAGCCGGGCACCCATATTTGGCTAATCGGTACCATTCAAGGGGGCAAATTCTAACCTTGTTTTTTCAAAAGGGAAATATCCCTGCTTCATAAAAATGCATGATAGCAGTCTGTAACTGGTAGCTTTATATATAAAATATGTCCACGAGTACGTCCACCATTTTGTGACAAACTAAAATCTTGTCATTCCATGAAACGATGCTCTCTTTCAACAAACAATTCAAGGACAGTTTAACTTGTGAAAAGAAATATCTGTAATATCTTTTCATTGCATAATATTACACAATTGATTCATTCTTTGCACTCACAATGTTATTGGACATTGAAAAGTCCTCTTGTGGTTGATAACCTCTAACCACCCTAAAAGTCGACTTCATCAAATTCATCCTCAGATGAAACATCAGTTCCTGTGTCAACCTCATCCTCTTGATTTTCACACATTTTCAGTTTACACATGCTAGAGCACTTCATTCTGTTGACCATGCATGGACATGATGGCAGCTTGCATGATCGTGAGCATTTGCATGCAAGAAATTCAAGTACTGCTTCTGGTGCTGGTGCACCGTCCATCCAATCAATGACAAGCTTTTCTCCTCCCTCAGGTGCACACTCAATTCTCCAGCCAAAGCCATCAGGACTAGGCACCTCTGGTTTCTGCTGCAGGCTCCTCTTCCAAACTGCTGCTTGGTAGTTTGCCCTCTCTGCATGTTTGTGAAGAGCATCCTTACATGGTGGCATCTGGTGTGACTCAATTGCACCTTTCTTGCTGTAGAATAGGTGATAACGGAAGTCGTTAACTCTCATTGATGGCATTCGAGATCCATATAGCTGGCAGGTGTACGTTTCCAACTTAGAAAAGAGTGTTGATGACAGTGTCCATTCCTGACCAAGTTCTTTAAATACATCCTGTGCAGCTTTGTCATTCTCTAATGTTCTTAGTGCACGAATCTTCCCACGACCAGCAAAAGCACTGACAGAATCACAACCTGTGAAGGCATGAAGTCCAAGTATTCCTTTACACACATCCATACCAACAGCTCTTGCAACTTTTCCAACATCAATGAACCTTGTTCTGGTGATATTGCCACATTTCTGGTAAAGTGGAACATGTATGGAGTCACTGAAGGCAAGGCACAGAAGAAATACATCAGTGTCTTCTGAGGCAATAACAACTGCAGAAGTATGATTGTCAGCAGCATGGGCAGCGTGGAGTAGTAGTCTGGTATCAGCCTCCTCATGACTGGACTCCAGCTCTAGTACCTCTTGTGTGTCGTCTTTTGTGATTCTATAGCATTTTTCTTCATTTGTCACAAACAATTCCTTCTCTGCTAATAGTTCACGTGAGGTTGGATGTTTCCATTCAGTGACGAGGAACTCAATCAGTGAGGTCTTATTGTCAGTACTTGACAAGAAGTTTCTCCATTGGCGAACAACGTGTGCTGATGCTATGTTCTTGTACTGGACACCATTGTCTTGACAGCGATTCAGTCTCTCTGCCTCCTTGATACTGTGATGCTGATAAACATCAAATACTATGTCAATCCGTGAACTATGGGCTCCTTCTCTGAGGGCTGATGACAGAATCAAAGTTGCGACTTGACCAAACGTTTTCTGATCTCCCTTCATTTTTTGAACAAGGGCCATGCCATCAATTATTGTTGTAGATGGCTGTGGAATGTTTTCAGCTACAGATGCTCTCTTCTGCAAATCTCGTGCAAGTACTGCTTTGTTGGTTTTCCTTGGTTTACCATCAGGTGTTGAGAGCGACCATGGCAGTGGTCCAAGGGGATAGCAAAGAACAGTTTTCATCTGCAGCTCTTTTCTGGCCTGTGCAATCAGAATCATCTGTGCAAAAAGTTTTCTTTCTGCCACGAGGATGATATCTTTCCCACATGAGTTTACTTTGGTTTTCTTCTTTGACATGTTTGTGAAGGTTTGTAGCTTGTGTTGTGGCAATTTGTCATGAAATTTGATTGTTGGGGATTCATTGTCCAATCGTTCTTCTCTAAATCTTTTATAGGCATTCTCACCCACTTTCTCTGCCCTAAGGAGGTCATTGGCAATTTCTGTAGTAGCAGCTGTTGCAGTGGACAGGCTCACTATTTCCTGATGTCCATCAAAAGGATTAATCCAATTCTCAATGGTATCAACAACTGTTTTCACTGCTTGTTCATCTTTCAGCATTCTTGGTGACTGAAGTTCTGCATGATGCAGATCACATCTGTTTAGTCCCAACATGTCTCTGAACTGACGAAGGAATGCACTCCGGTATTCAGCAGTTAAGTAGAATCTTGTTACAGCCCCTGCTTTCAAACTGTATTTCCTGATTCCTCCTGGCACTTTGGTGTCCTTGTTCACGGTCTCTTCAGTGGCTTGGTCGACTGGAATTTTGCCAAAAGGATTATCTTGACTGAGTTGCACAGAGAACCTCCCATGCTGAAATTGTTCATATACATCAGGATGTTGTGTTGGTAGAATTGTCATATTCGCATAGTAGACAGGCAAATATCTTGCATAGTTCACTTTGTCATAGGCAAAACACCAGGGAATCATAGCACGCACTGCTGCCAAGTGAAGTTCCCAGTTTCCTTCACGTGACGCCCTTATCAGTCCCAGCAGTATTTTCTGTACCATGTCAATGTAAGACATCCAGTAAGAAGAGAGCGGTCCATTGTCATTCCTCAGAAAATCCAGGTAAGATTGGAAGGTTTTGACTGTAGCTATGAAGGAAGTGTTTTCCAAGACTTCATCAAACTGTTTCTGGCAGATATTGTCTTGAAGTTCAGTTATCAGTTCCTGTGTTTCTTCAAGGTTACATACTTCTCCAGCTTGAGTTTCTCTGAGCCAGGGTACAAAACCTTTCCAAGCAATCCTCATCATTGCTTCAAGCACATACTTGTGAACACGAACTGCTCGGTTGTACTGTCGTCCTTCCATTACAGCCCCAAGAGAACCTTCTGCAACAATACCCGACTCTATGCAAAGATCTCTCAAGCCTGCATCCTGAAAGCGTTTCCCTAAAATGCTCAGTACATTGCAAATGGTGTGAAATGTGCCAAGTCGAAGGATGATACCAGGATAATGGTCCTTGCGCTTCCAGATAACTTCAGCAACTTTTGCAAACATTGCTTGGTCAAAGACTATTACCACCTTTTTCAGATGTAAGTTCCCCATGATATTCTTCGCCTGGTTTAAGATTTCAAAGCATGTTGCTAGGCTTGTTGCAGGAGCGTTGATTGTTGGAAGGTAGCCTATGTTGTCTTTGCAGACATCAAGATCTTGGCGGACTGAAATGTTAAACCCTGTCCAGCTACCAATGGTTTGCTGTGGTGAATCTGTTTGCCGAGTGAGGAACCATAAGACATCTTTTCTCAATGCCTGATGCAATGTGTCATCTCTGTTACTGTCAGTAGTGGTCAGCTGCCCAGGTCCACATCTTTCGCCGGTATTATATACTGGCAGTGCAAACTCTCCATCAGGAATGCTTCTCTGTTTCTTTTTTTCTACTATTGGTAGCTGAGGTTTCTCTTCATGTGGTCCGTGCATTCTTGGCTGAACGATAATGCCATTAACCCTATGACTTGTGCCTTCCCCTGTCAATGTCTCTTCTAGGATGTCAATATTATCCCACGCCATGGTTGTGAATACATGGGGCTGAGCAGTACTTGGAAGCACAACATCACCATCTACAGAAGATGCCATTTTCTGTAGGCAGAGTGCAGTCTCGTTTTCCTCAAGCTGTGAGTAAGATACCCCATGGCCGAGTCTATTTAGTGCTTGAATCAGTTCAGCATTTCCAGTGAGATTCTTGACAACAGCTGGCAAAAGGATGTGTTTTGGTGGTTTCTGCTTGCCACAGCTCACAGCATAGAGGAGGTCCTGTCCAAATGAGTTGACAAGCCAGGTTACCCTCTCTGACGGTTGCTTTGGTGAAATGTCACCAGTTAGTAGCCCAAAAAGAAATTGTTTCAGTGACAAAGGCAGTTTTATTGCAGCTATGTTAAGTGATTCTGGTAAGTGCGGCCATTCCAAAACATCATCTTGCTCCTTGATCCTTGAGCGCAGCAATATGGCAGCAGAGGTTATAACCCCCTTGTCTTCTGATGACTGACTCTGCTTGGAATGAATATCATCTGTAAGTTTTATATTCTCCTTGGCAAGTTCATAGATACTCAGGTTGTCTGGTATAACAAGAAGTTTGCCTTTATCATCTGGAAATATGTGAATTGCTTGACAGAACTCAGCTTCAAGTTTTCTCCGAATGTGCTTCTTTGTAGATTCCCTGATGTTACTTATTCCAGCCATCTTCATGTGATCCACCAGGACTGTTGTGAGGTCTACCATTTTAACAGTCTTTGGGTTTGAAAACAGGGTGTTTCTGATATAGCTAAACAGATGAAAATATGCATCAGCTTCTGCTTCCTGGTACTGGATGTCATGTTCATCAACTTCTGGAATAGAACAGGGAGTGCAGTCAGGTGCCCTTGTGTACTTTTTATAACATGAGCGATGGTAGTGAGCCTCTGCTGCAACAATATCACGTGCTACAAAACTTAGTACTGCTACATCTTGTTTTTTTATGGCCATGTCCCGTACTCTCCTATCTGCACGGAGATCAACACACTGTATAAGGAGTTCTCGACTTTTCTGGCCCTTCTTATACTTAACCTTCCGGCAAAATAAGCATTGCTTTTCATAAACCCTTGATGAAGTTGGTGATTGCCTGTTCGATCTCCGGTTTTCAACACAAGCATGGCTACCTTCTTCTGTTTTGCTTGACTGTAGTGACTGTAATTCCCGTTTTATTGTAAATCTACAACGACATTTCCGATGGTAGAAAATGTTTGGTATCTCAGATGTACTCTTTGCAAACTCCAGAAGTGGTTTGTGATTTCGTATTTGTGCTGCTTTCAGCAGAGCTTCCCACGATTCAAAGCTATTAGGTTGAACCAAGTGGCTTTCCATATCTTCACCTTCATAGTGAATGATGCAGGATGTACTACTCCTGGGCTTTTTGTATGGCGGTTCATCGGTGACAATGTCTTCCATATTGCAGTCACTACAGCTATCAGCACTTGTCCCATCTTCATATTTGTCCATTAGAAGTAGTAGTAATACAAATGGCAACTTGGTGTTTAATTCATGGTTGAAGAATGAATTTGTAATCTGTAAGATAATGAAACAAAACATTACAAAATATGTTTAATGTATACTGTATAATTGTGAATAGATCATGAATGACTAATAATTTTAAATAAATTTAACATGTAAGGATACTAGTATGTGAACTGAAACAATCTTCATTATTTGCAGTTGGTTTTTTTAGATTTTCTGTTTCTTAATTCAAAAGTAGGCATCATTCATTTTTAGGTATGAGAATAATTTTAATTTTCTCATTTTGGGAATTTTATCATATCATAAAAGAAATAATCAATTACATTCAAATTAACATGTGTTTTAATATTTTACATCTAAGGATACTTGCATGTGAATTGAAACAACCTTCATTAATTGCAGTTGTTATCTGTAGATTTTCTATTTATCAATTTCTAAATTCAAAAGTAGGCATCTTTCATTTTTAGGTCTGTGAATGAGAAAATTTAATTTTCTCATTTTGGGAATTTTATCATCATATCATATACAAATATAATCAATTACATTCAAATTAACATGTGTTTTAACATTTTATTGGAAAATGTAATAATTATGCAGAAAAAAAATAATTTTCCAACAATAGTTCAAATAAAGGTTAAAATAAGATAGTAATGATAATTAGTTGTAAGTAAGTGCCATGTACCATTACATCATTATTACATCATCATTACATCATCATTACCAAATTCAGAGATGCTATTGATGCCATTAACTTTTTTATTGAATTGTTTCATAACATTAGTTAAGAGTCAACACTTCTACAGTGTACCCTACAACTTTGATGAAATAAAAATTACAATTTAATGACATGTTGTCTGACAGTCATTGATAAAAAAAACGTTTGGCACCACTTGGTGCCATTTACTTATATACTGTGTCTGCAAAGCAGTTTTTGGCTCCCTTTTTTTATTGGTAAGATGTATAGTAGTATATGCAACAGCCAAAACAGCAACTTACCCCTGATAGGTTGAAATATGATCACTTATGTTCATTAATTACTGTTGCTATGGTCAAATCACCAAGACAGGAAGTAAACAAAGAAGTGAATTAAGTACTACTCACCGGACAACATATTGTACTGGCCATTCTTCTGTGCCAACTTTGGAGACCTTCACAAGAACTTAAAAAAACATGCAAAGCTACTCGATTTCAAATGCTATCATATTTATTCTACATATAGATAGCATTACCTTCAATTTTAAACCGGTCACAATTTGCCCCCTGTTTGGTACCGAAATTTTGCCGGGCTGATAGACTAATAACTGGAATACTGATAAAAGCGGCGTTAAACCCAACTCACTCACTCACTCACTTCGATTATATGATAGTGTAGAACATGCTTCTGTACACTCATTGCTTTTCCTTCATCGTCCAAAGTGAACAGACGTGTTTGTTTCCACTCCCTATTTGCAATTGGATCTGTTTTATCATTTTAGTTTGAACTGAATATCTTACTATTGTTATGAGGTTACTATGTTATTAGCTCACCGGGTCCGAAGGAACAAGGTGAGCTTATGTCACACCGTGGCATCCGTCCGTCGTCCGTACATCAACAATTTTTTTAAACGACTTCTTCTGAACCACAAATTGGAAATTAACAAAATTTGACAGGAAGCATCCGTAGGTGGTGGGGATTAAAATTGTACAAATGGAGGGGCTGACCCCCCAAGGGGCTGAGGGGCGGGGCCAAATAGGGGTAATTTGGCAATATTGCTTTAAACAAATTCTTCTCTTGAGATAAGAGATAGACATCAACCATATTTGGTTGGAAGTATTCTCAGGTGATGGGAATTCACACACACACGCACGCACTCACACACAGAGAACCACAGTCATCGTTGTCATTATTGACTTATGCCAGTAATGCTTTAAGACAAGGTGTAACACTGTGTACATTTATCTAACTAAATTTGAATATCTTTCATATTCAGTAGGTAAGATTAGTCTTTGTTCATTTGTTCTCCGTCATCTCTAGACGATACGTGAAGTCTCCGAAGCCGAGCGAGCAGTGGTGGGTGAAGCTGAAGAAGAGAGAGGAGCAGGAGGATGAGAAGGACGACAAAGGGGACATGGCAGGGGAAGTGGGAGACAACGCATCCAACAATGCTGACGAGAAGGAGCCTTTGGAGAATGATGAGCACGTAGTTAATGGGGGTATGTGCTTTAGACTTGGAATGAACGGCCACTCTTGGTACCATAACACTAGGGCAGTAACGATTCACCGATACCTACGATATCATCGATACTAAGGTACAGACAATACTTGATTCGTCAGTTTGTAAGATCATGAGAAGCTATAAATAGAACAGAAACTGATTAAATTACCTCCGGTAAAGGCAGAAGTAGCATAGCGCAACTTGTAAGAATGACAGATTACGAGGACGTCACGATAGAGGACGTGCCTGCTTTTGAACTATTACATTTAATAACCATCCATTTAAAACTTTCTTCTTCTTTTTTCAATGACAAGTTTTTGTTTCGTTGACCAGGTTTGGTTTTGTTGACAAGTTTTTGTTTTAGAGATGATAATTAGCAAAAGAATGAATCCCAGATGTTTTAGAGTTAAATTTCAGTGAGTTCATCACTTCTTACTATTTGTTGGTGTACCGTGAAGGCAGTGGTATCGCCAGTCTGTATCGTGATATGTATTGTATCGCAAGATACCAAGTGATACTCACCTCTAATGAACACCCTTGGTGGCACAGGTCAATCTGTAGATCCCTCCATTTATTCAAACATTATAGATTTTGTATCCTGTTTTGAGTGAACTTTCCAGGGTTCGACATGGACATTACAATTTGTTAGTGCTGACCTGAACTCATAGGTGATAAATGTTGATGACCTGCATCACGTCGTACTTTCCTCCCACACTTATTGCCATGTGATAGGACTGAAATATGATTTAAGGGGATCTTATTCCCCACACTCATGCTTCATCTGGCACAGTGAAGAAGATGCAGGATAGAATAGGTCTTCAGCAACCCATGATTGACTTAAATGGCGACTATGCTTGTCATAAGAGGCGAATGTCATCGATCCCAATTACGTGGATTGATGCTCATGATATTAATCACTGGATTGTCTGGTCCGGACTTGATTATTTACAGACCGTCGTCATATAGCTGGAATATTGCTGAGTGCGGCGTTAAATAACAAACAAACAAACAAACAAAGCAGGTGAGACAGCAGCAGTATACATAATGGCTAATGGCAGGAAGAGTTATTCCCCCTTTGTGTCCTTCACAGAGGTGAGCAGTATGGACACCAATGTGTCTGATGATGAGTTGGAGACGGATCGGGCTGCGGAGAAGATGGGAGAAGATGAGGAAGTGGAGGAGGAGGAAGAAGGACCCAAGCGGCTGTTCACCTTCTCCCAAGTCAACTCGTATGGCAGCAGCGAGCTGGATGGCAAACTGCTGGACGACGGTCGGCCGCTCAAACTAACGTCCAAAACATACATTGCTTTGGACTGGGATCCTCTGGCGAAAGAAAAGTTTTATATTGAGAAAGATGCTGAGGTACATGACTGCCCTCATTTACAAGGGCAATGAGTTATTTGATATTGCATGAAATTGTTATTATGTGAAACTTCTAGTCTTGATGTTTTGACTTTTGAAACTGATGTTCAGTGATATTATGAGTAAAGTATGTTATGTCTTTGGATAATATTCAGATTTATAAACTTATCTTATCTGACACTATACATTTCTTCCTTCTTCTTTCGATCCTTATGTGGAAACAAGCTTGAACAAAGTTTCCAGCTTCTACCATGGTCACCACCCTAACAACAACTATTGTTTGGGTGGTGACCATGGTTATGCTGGGATGTGTTTGGGTGAATTGTTTTTTAGAACCTTGAAACTTTGTTCCTGCACGTTTCCCCATAAGGATCGAAAGAAGAATGAAGAAATGCATAATGTGAGATAAGTTTAAATATACAATTTATTGTAGAATTTATCATTCTTATTTGTCAACAATAACATATTAATATACTTTACGTGTTATTAAGCAAATTTTAAAGAAGTGTTGCTGTCACCAGCAGTGAGATGGAAATAAAGTGGAAACGAGGGCATTCGGTTTGTTCTCCGTGTACAGCTCAAGGACGAAGTATACATATTTTGATCAAAATACTTGTCATTTCAGGATTTTGAGCAGCATGACACTATCCGGTACCGGAATGTGCCCAAGAGACAGGCAATCCAGCTCAATGACTGCCTCAAGATCTTCACAGACGCCGAGAAACTCAGCGAACATGACCCATGGTTTGTACACTTCCAAATTGCTAAATAATACCACCACAGTTTATACATCTTTGACCCGTGAAGATCCGGGGTAGAATAGGTCTTTAGCAACCCATGCTTGCCCTAAAAGATGACTATGCTTGTGGTAAGAGGCAACTTACGGGATTGGGTGGTCAGGCTCGCCGACTTGTTTGATGCATGTCATCATATCCCAATTGTGTGGATCGATGCTCATGATGTCAATCACTGAATTGTCTGGTCCAGACGCGATTATTTACAGACCACTGTCGTATAGCTGGAATATTGCTGAGTGTGGCCTTAACAACAAACATACATATATAGTTATCTTTGGGTCATTGTTTACCTTGATATGACAGACTGCCAGTCATTGTGTTGTTCACAAAACATCAACCTACCACATGCTTATAGTGAGTCGAGTAGCCTCATCACGCTGAAGACCTGGTTCGACTCCTGATATGGGTACAATGTATGTAGCCCATTTCTGGTGCTGGAATATTGCTAAAAGAAGCGTAAAACCAAAGTCACTCGCTTATAGTGAATCAATTACCATGATCGGTGCTCTGCAGGTACTGCCCGTCATGTAAGCGCCACCAACAAGCCACAAAGAAGTTTGACCTGTGGTCACTGCCAAATGTGCTCATCATACATCTGAAGAGGTTCTCCTACAACAGATACTGGAGGGACAAGATTGATGCTCTGGTCGAGTTCCCCACAGAGTGAGTACTCCACAGCCTTCATAGGTCCTAAGTAAGGATAAGAATTTATGGATGAACAACTTCTTTATTACAATTAAGAACGATGTTTCGGTGTAGGTTCTTACACCGTTATCAAGCAGGTGTTAGAACCTACACCGAAACGTCGCTCTTAATTGTAATAAAGAAGTTGTTCATCCATAAATTCTTATCCTTACTTAGTACCCCAACTTCTAAATGCCTATCAAAGAAGTTACTTCATAGGTCCGACAACACTGTCTTAAGATAGTAAGGATAGATATTTTCTTTTGTCGGTTTTTGAGATGTTTAAAGCATGATTTGCCAGACTGCAATACATACGGTTTCATGCTGACACAAGATAATAAGTCTGCATAAATAGCAACAACATTTGTAGGGCACTTATTTAACTTTTTTTTAAATTTGAAAACTTTTTTTTAAAAATATTAAATTTTACTGGTGTCTCTTTGGGTAGAATCAAACAGAGAATAGCACAGTCAGTACAGAACACATCCACAATCCAAAACTTGCCTTGCTTCATCGTTTCAGTGGAACTTTGTGTCAACATGTTCCCTATCAACAGGAATAGGTCTTCAGCAACCCATGCTTGCCGTAAAAGGCGACTGTGCTTGTCATAAGAGGCAACTAACGGGATTGGGTGGTCAGGTTCGCTGACTTGGTTCATGCATGTCATCGATCCCAAATGCGACGATCGATGCTCATGGTGTCAATCACTGGATTGTCTGGTCCAGACTCGATTATTTACTGACCGCCGTCATATAGCTGGATTATTGCTGAGTGCGGCGTTAAACAACAAACAAACAAACACTATCAACAGCTAGGCTTTCTGAACCAACAAGAATGAGGCAACTCTGATGGTAACAGCTTGTGAACTGTGTTGCAGAGGTCTGGATTTGAGGAAGTACATCATCAACGCTGACCATGGCCGTGCCGTGTACGACCTCATCGCTGTCTCAAACCACTACGGAGGACTAGGGGGTGGACACTGTGAGTATATGGGGAAAAGTTCTCCCATGTCGGGATTTAAACAGATACATTTGACCTGACTCAATGTCAAATGAGCTTATGTCATGTGCTTCTTATCTGACAGGGGCACGGGTGGCCCAGTCGTCTAAAGCGCCGCGATTCGCTGTGCAGAGTTGTGTCCCTTGGGCACGCCAGAAACCTATGATTGTGGGTTTGAATCCCGGTTCGCCCCAATTATGTTTCTAGGTTTGTCAGCACCATACCCGTGCTCGTGGGTTTCACCGAAGTGGTAAACGTCTGAGACCTGCATCACTTCATGCTTTCCTCCCACATTAAGCTGACACGCTGCGATATAACTGGAATACTGTTAAACCCAACTCACTCACTCACTCTTATCTGACATTTGCCTGCGTCCATAAACAAACTATGGACACTTTTGATGAGTGGCTATCTTTGTTTTTTTACTGTTGGCTGCATAACCAGTTTATCTACAGTACCATGGGACTATTTTTACCAGCTTTAGTCACTTGACCAATCAGCTATCAGTAAATCAGTATCTCTAGGTGATATTGCTTTGTCACACATATCTAGGCCAAGGTACAAGTATATGTGACCAACTATGAGAAAAGGGACGTTATGGGTGAAAAGTCACTTTTTAACTTTTCATAATTTTTAAGACTACAACATCTGTGGAACAAAACAATACAATTCTCAAACTTCGATTCATATTTATCACAGAGATACATGACATCACACATACCGTATTCGACATAATAAGCACCCTGCTCTAATTAGCTCACACGGCGATATTTGCTAATATATTTGCTAGTGAACAATCCCAATTAACACCCCTTCCAATTGATCAATGTACACAAGGCTTATTTATTCATGTATCATACGCACCCGTGTGTTATATGCACCCTTAATTATGGGCAGTTAAATTCTGGAAAATATAATCGAATGTAAACATTTCAGTCTGCCAGCATAAACCACGTAATTTACGATCTTTGAAATCTGTTTTTTAATAATATTCTAATAAGAGCCCCCTATTTCTAATTTTGAGAGCGCCCTAGGCGTTATTACGGTATCAGCGATAAAAAATTAAAAAATTAGTCCACTAGTACATATAATGATAACATATAGCAAAGCCCTTAAAAAGAGCAAATTTCTACTAGTCCTCATGATTCCTTAGCTATTGGGCAGTTTGACAAGGACTATAGGACCAGTGCCAGTTTCTACCACTGCATATTGATCTTCACTGAAGTAAGCTGACGTCAAACGTCTTAATGATGTCATAGCACAATTGTATCCTAGCACCCATAAGGTCTCTTCTCCTGGTGGGTCTCATATATGTATTGAAGTGTTGTTTTCTCATAGCTGCTTGTGACCTGTGAAGATCCGGGGTAGAATAGGTCTTCAGCAACCCATGCTTGCCGTAAAAGGCAACTATGCTTGACGTAAGAGGCGACTAACGGGATCGGGTGGTCAGGCTAGCTGACTTGGTTGAAGCATGTCATCGATCCCAATTGCGTGGATTGATGCTCATGATATCAATCACTGGATTGTCTGGTCCAGACTCGATTATTATACAGATCGCCGTCATATAGCTGGAATATTGCTGAGTGTGACGTTAAACAACAAACAAACAAACATAGCTGCTAGTTCATCTGCTGAGTCAGTGTCGTGGATAAGACGGCTGATTTGCCTCATTGTTTGCAACATGTATCAGTACTGACTATCTTACCTGTGGCAGTCAATGTAACCAGTGCATGGTTTGAAGTGAGCTCCTGTTCACAAATGAGTCATTACCCCTTCTTCTTGACCTCAGACACGGCGTTTGCGAAGAACAAAGAGGAGAACGAGTGGCATTACTTCGACGACTCCAGCGTCAGTCAGTCCAGTGAAGAGGCTGTTGTGGTATGCACATTTTGTACTCTGCAGGCTTTGTACTCTCCAGTGAGATGGAAAATGGTTTTTTTTATTTCTATTATTCCACGACACAACATATTGAATACGTATTTATGTATTTGGAAATAGTTTAGATATCTCTATCCCTATGAACGTTGAGTGGTATATTTTTCTAGTCGATGCCGGATGGCAGTCGGTATAGTCATCTTATACCCATATTAACCTGATGCGTCGAGCATGTGGTGGATGTGTTGGTGCCTGATTGATAATAGCCTTGCAAGTCATTCAGTCATTTAGTCATTCAGTCATTCAGTCATTCAGGGACACTTTAAGATCCAGCTTTGAATAGGTCTTCAGCAACCCCTGCTTGTCGTAAGAGTCGACTAACGAATCCGGTGGTCAGGCTTGCTGACTTGGTTGATGCATGTCATCATATGCGTAGATCGATGCTCATGATGTCAATCACTGGATTGTCTGATCCAGACTCGATTATTTACAGACTGCCTTCATATAGTTGGAATATTGCTGAGTGCAGTGTTAAACAACAAACAAACAAACAAACAAACAGTCATTCAGGTCGGGGACAAAATACTTTATCAGTCCAATCTTTCAACATTTTCTGTATTTCTTCCAGACAAAAGCTGCGTATGTGTTGGTGTATCAGAAGCGAGAACAAAAAATGCCCCCGCCGCCTGTGCCTGCAAAAACCAAATCGGCCACTGTGACAACGGCTACAGCAAGCTCTGCCGCCGAGGCAGAGACATCGTGTTGCACCAACGGACTCGAATCCCCAGACAATGCTCATTGCAATGACATCGAGATGGATACGTCAACATGATACCCTCCTAGCATAGATGATTGTAACTAATTGAACATGCCTCTCTGGTACAACCTACTCTCACCACAGCTTCCTCCCAGTGTAGAGGAGGCCAAACTACAGGGCAAGAACTAAACACAAACACTAGAGGAAGGTACCGCGATGGTAACGCTGCTTCAGAAACCCTACATTTCTTTAAAACAAGATAGAATAGACCTGCTGACAAGCTTCGACAAGGATATATGGTAGAGTGATAGATGGAGCATCTCTCTGAGTGGTGCGCTGTTCCAGGAGAGGGCGTTGGCCCTTTGCTGGAACCACATCCCAAGGAACTATTCACGAAGTTGCATCTGAATGATCTGGATTTCTTATGAAGATTTCGTGTTCAACAGATATTTCCTTTGCCTCTGTGTGAGATATTTTAGCAGGCTAAGAATCTGGGATGTGGAAGTGCTGTCATTCTGTGTCAAATACCGCACTTCTTTCATGTTATTGTCTCTGTGTAGGGCATCCAGTTGTTTAATGATAGCTGCATGATGGCATAACTGTGTGTTATAGACAAGGATTGTTACAAGTTTGAACAGAGGACGAAAATTGGAGTCTCTTTATTCTGTGAAGTAAATCTCAAACCAAACCTATTCAAACCAGACGCTTTCAAATAAGCTCTTCTTTTGTGTTTTGGACCGCCCTTATTGAGAAGCAGTCTTTAAGAAGTGTTGTGTGTTTGAACTGCAACTCCTTGTCATTCTTTCTGTACTGGCGTCACGAAGTGCATGCTTCCACGATGATTGTGGCGACGGGTTGTCGTTCATGTGGAACGATACCCCAAGGTCAAGGTCAACTGATGATTGACACATGTACATAGCAGGTGTGTGAGAGTGACAGTGTCTACAAATTACACGTGATATCGACAATGGTGCGCAGGGCGACGGGAGGGTTCTCCCGATGGCCGTTGTGCTGCTGTGCCGTATTTAAGCAGTAGTTCTGTATATACCTGTATAGTTGTCTCCCTGGTAAATATCCTGTGTGAATGTCGAGAGTGGCAATTATTTATTGTTTATTTGAACAACATAAATATGTTTTTATACAGTGGAGTTTTCTTATAACAGTGACCGTATGCGTCTTGTCGTGTCGAATATATTTGTTGATTTCTTGCACTAGCACTCTGATGATCGGAATGAATTAGAGTGCTAGCGATAACTTATTTTCTTATTTGTACCTTCAAGATCCCCTTCTGAGTAATATTATAGAAGACAACCATCCCTATTTATCGATACTATTCATTCAAATTGGTGGAAATAGATTAAGCTTTTCTTAACGTGTCTTACTCCTGTCATACTGTTAGTCAACAAAGAAGCTTTGTTTCTTTTGTAAGCGTAACATTTAAGTAACAAGCAAAATCTGTTAAAAGGTTCAATATTTCTTTTAATAAATTTAAATAATTTAGTTCCAATAAATATTTAAAAACATGAAATATTTCTCCCAATATTTGTGATGATTTTAACTCACAACTATTTATCACACATTGTCTGGGGCAATATGATTGTCTGTTCATTTCGCTGTCTTGTATATTCACGTCACCATGACGACACAGATTACCTTCATAATATTTTGTTATAATATAAACCTAATTATGTATGTGTGTGTCCCAAGTCTGTATGACAACACTGCCTATGCCACAGTTCTGTCACACAGGGAACACCAAAGTCGGTCTACTAAACCACTATTCCACTAAAATTGAAGACACTCGGTTCACAATTTTATACTGATATTGTTTTCCATTTTGGGGATTGAACAGAAAAGGGAAAGTTTGGTTCGGGTCACTTTTAAAGTGTTAAAATGTTTTGAAAGGTATGTCTTAATCATGTTAATAGATGTTTTTGACGATCTCAGTATAAAAATAATTGATGTATTCAGAGAAATTGATATTTTTGAGGAAATTGCCAAGGTTTCTGTTGAGAGTCTAGTACTGGTATTCACTTGTTTAGTCCTTGTTCTTGTGATGGTCAGGGAAGCAACATTATTGCATAGTCCAGTGATGCTTAGCTTATCTAGCGGCTGAATCTTATTTCTAGATAAGTCAAAGACATGGGTGCCATTGTACAAAACAACCATAGCTCTACACCTGTCGTAAGTCAATGTTAAGGTGTGGTAGTTACGATCACCTTAGTGCTAAGATCGCTTTGAACAACAGCACTCTGACATTTAGTTGCTGATGATGGTCTCTGACATCTAATCAATGAAGTAGATTACCTTTCAGAAAGAAGATTTCTGCTGTACTACAGCGGCCATATAAAGCTTACAGAATATACTAGTATATGCATGTTCTGTGAACATGCGAGTATACAAACCTTCAGCTATTTAACACTTTGAATGTATATTCTGTAGTCCAGTCATGTTTGGACTTTCATTGTAAAGAGATGACACTCTCTGGCTTGCATAAAAATATTTGCTGGTGCTATTGATAAAGATATTCAGTGATAGACACCTACATTTCCATGAATATTTTAAATACAAGATAACATTAACCTGGGATTAAAAGTTGTAGTTTGAAACAATGTTTAAAATTACATCTACATTTAATAAATTTTAAATATCTGGTATAGTTTTGCGTGGTAATAAGATTTGTTCATGTTGACGTCGGTGAATAAGCTTTCCTTGACTTTTTCACAAAAACACTTGACAAATTAACCTGCAGATGCAACCAAATCTTTCCCGTGTGTCATTTGTAGATATTCCTTTTATAATCATATTTGATATTTTAGCTGACATTGCTTGGCTTTTAAAGTATAAATAACCAGGTACTCTTTGACTGCAGTTACTCAACGCTCAAATGTACATGCTTTAAGAATTTGTTACTGACTGCAGTGATGGGTGGACTGATAGAAGCTTTTACAACTGTAAAAAGGTGCAGATCTCAAAGAAAGATAGGAATAAAATTACAAATGGGAATGATAATTATCTTGCACATCCTCAAATTCCAGAAATTAACCAGGTATTTGTTGGTCAGCTGGATATGGGAGTTTGTGGGAGTTGCTCTTTCACTCTGAAGTGTTTCACAAGTGCTGTGTGATTCGAAATCCTCTACTATTGCGTTTGGAGCGTGTTTGTAATGGTAGTTGTCAGGCTTTGCATGCCAATAGGGCATCCCTCTACCTTTCCGTCTTGTTTTCGTCAAGACAGCTTATTCGATTGTAGGGTTGAAGTATGAAGACGAAAAACATTTTTATCAGATACTTTCCGCCATTTTGGTAACCATCTTAATAGGTCATTAATTTTCAGAGCCCATTTGTAGCCACCTCATTAAAATTACATGGAATTAGGTCTTGCTCCCCACTGGCTTCTAATAAATTATTTCCAAAATAAATATGTTACCACAGTAAGACTACTAATATACAGGAATAGTGAAACAGGTTTCCCCGCGCCATATGAAACTTGTATTTTCAAGTCAATTTAATGTTGTTGGGGGCGGTCAGGTAGCCTAGTGGTTAAAGCGTTCGCTCGTCACGCTGAAGACCCGGGTTCAATTCCCGACATGGGTACAATGTGTGAAGCCCATTTCTGGTGTCCCCCGCCGTGATATTGCTGGAATATTGCTAAAAGCGGCGTAAAACCATACTCACTCACTCACTCACTATTGCTCAGGATCGAGGTCTAATCCAATTAAACCTTCCACATTCATGCAGGAAAATTGTTCTGCTAAGTTTTTGCTTAATCCCCTATTTTTTCCTATATTTGATCGTTTGCGGCTACATTCACAGCATCAAACATGGCGGATAGGTATCTGGTAAAGTGCATGTGTACTCTATTCAAGGATCTTCCACTGTTGCTCTAACTGAAGAGCGTTCATTTCATTCGTAAAACTTTTTAAAAGTGAGATGTCATCTACAACAGAGGAACACATTACCATTAAAAAACTGCTTTTGTCAAGAGAACCTGCCAGTGCCGTGGTGACATCGTTTGAGGGCCTCGTATGGTCCTCTACAAGGGCCTCGTATGGTCCTCTACAAGGGCCTCGTATGGTCCTCTACAAGGGCCTCGTATGTCCTCTACAAGGGCCTCGTATGGTCCTCTACAAGGGCCTCGTATGTCCTCTACAAGGGCCTCGTATGTCCTCTACAAGGGTCTCGTATGGTCGTCTACAAGGGCCTCGTATGTCCTCTACAAGGGCCTCGTATGTCCTCTACAAGGGTCTCGTATGTCCTCTACAAGGGTCTCGTATGTCCTCTACAAGGGCCTGCTTGGTACATCATAAAGCATCATCCCACCAATGGTGTATCGACTTGTTCCCCGATTGTATTTTTGTAAGGGATAGATGAATACACCAAATTGTTTTTAAAACCAGTGTGTGTATTGTGGAATTGTTGATAGCCTTGGACTGTTTCTCTGGCAACTTTCACATGCAAATGTCACCTTATTATCTCCATGTATGATTTCTAGAAATAATAAATCTGTTCTATGTATTTTAATTTCTTATTGTGTTGTCAGGTTGATGGTGGTTGAGAAAACCAAAAATATTCACCAACAATATGATTAAAATTCGGTATTCTCAAACAAGGGACTAGATATGTGCTCTCCGTCACCTAAATACACACTATTGGAGGTATGACAAAGTGACCAGTCACATGTTGCCAGTACCGCTAAAAAAGCTCAAGTGGATTGGCTTTCAAATATCTTTTCAGTTATTCTTCTGTTTTATATATTCAATAACTCTTTCATAATGAAAATAGCGTCCGCCCGGAGAGCGGAAGGTCCGGGGTTCGATCCCCGACCGCGTCATACCAAAAGACGTTAAAAGATGGTACTTGTTGTTACCCTGTCCGGCGCTCGGCATTAAGGCGCTAAAACAAGGACTGGTCGGCTCGGAGTCAGTATACTGAGTCTGAGTGGGGTATTCATGTGAAACTGCGGCATGGTATCTCAGTGAGCTAGCACTATAAATCTGCATCAGTCCGGACTAGTACAAGCAGCCACACAAACACACACACGTACTTGCACGTCGCTATATAAGTGCAATAATCTTGGACGCGACGTTAAACCCCATTTCACCTCACCTCACATAATGAAAATGCAGGTCCTATAGATACTCCTCATTGAAGCACCTTGCCTGAAAACACAATGGTCTGTAATGTATCACTTCTCATTGGAGGTTTTCAGCAACATATAGGTCCAGGGTTCCAGGTTTGACTTGGTCCAGACTCCGTTAGCTTCAGGCCGCCATCCTGTACGTGGAATATTCAACACTGTTTCTGAGAAAACTTGTCCCTATTGGCAGTTCTGTGCACCATGTCCAAAAGATAAAGCAAGGGGCATAACTCTTTGTCCCTTAATGATGTATGATTCGTTTGTTTGTTGTTTAACGCCACACTCAGCAATATTCCAGCTATCTGACGTCGAAATAATCATGTTTGGACCAGACAATCCAGTGATTGACATAACAATGATCAATCCATGCAATCAGGATACAATGACATGCATCAACCAAGTCAGCGAGTCTGACCACCCGATCCTGACACTGATAAGTTGTCTATTCCAAACCATATCTTCACAGGTGTAATGTATGAAATGTGTCCTCCTATCCATTGCGGTTTTAAAAATCAGGTCCAGTGTGGAGGTACGTACGGAGCACCAGTTGTAAGGAAAGGGCAATAGCCTCTGTAAAATAGTCATTCCAAAACTGGTTTTCAAGGCTGAAAAACTGATGGATCCCAAACCTATCTCTCCACCACACATCATGACTGGGAACATCAAAGGACTCACCAATAGCAAACTCATTAAAATCAGACGTTAGATCTCGCTGCCGCTAAACAAAGATCTGAAGACATTCCATTAGGGGTCACATCAGAAGACCTTTGATCCAACCAATCAGTGTCGCTTACCAGATCATGAAAGTGAGAGTCGGAATGTGATTTCTAATCATGCAACCTCGAAAACTTTAACATGGGGTATTCCGAATGATAGTTACGGGTTTAACGACTGAATCCATACAATCTAGACCATATATTTGCCATTCCAGAAAGTTCTTTTATTCAGGTTTCAAAATTTTAATCGAGAATTTGTCAAAATATGTTTTGAAGCGTAGTCGCCAATTTGAAATTAGTGCAGTAAAGCACCAGAAAGCTGCCTTCTGATTGGCTAATGTCGACTTCTTGTCCGTCCTTCCATTGGTCGGTCAAAATTCGCGCAAGGTCAGTCTGACGTGACCCGTAATGGGATTTATCATATAATGGGTAGGTTTCTCGGCAGGATAAAGCCAACGGATAAAAACGATATCCGTTGGGGTCATATGCGGATAGAGATGCAAATATCAAAGGTCAAGTAGGACTACTTTCACTGTTTATAAACAAACATGGCGTCGCCCTCGTCATTCGGCGATCGAGTCAGAATTAACCATCGGGAATCTGGATAAACTACAGGGATAATTGCTATAATTATCAAAAGAACAGTCTAATATACTGAGAATCAGTGTCTAACTGTGACGTAGCTAAGGCATTTTATAAGTTTTGGCAACTTTGGAGATATAAATTTTGAAACAATTTTGCGAGGGCACGAGGCCTAGGCTAGCCAAGCGGGATCAGTAGCCATACCTGTCCCTGTAGACGTCTGAAGCTTAAAACCTTCTCCACATATTAAAATAGTTGGATTGGGCTGAAATATGTTTGAATTGTTACCTTGTTTCGTTTTGTCGCTGTGTGTACATCTGACTACACTTCTTAACGTAATGACAGGACAGACCGACTGTCAACAACGTCTGACCGTGGCCGTGACATCTCATAGACTAGGGTTAGAGTAGCTTCCCTTTGACAAAGAGCAGTTACTCTAGCGGACAGACCGATGGATTGCTGCGAAAGGCAATTAAAAACAACTGTTGTTTTGCGTATAAGTTGCTTCGCCACAGTATAAGAAACAGTTTTTAGTTGGAACTATATTGGCTACTGTCACTGTCCGACTGACACATCACTTACCCTGTGACGGACTAAATATTAATGCGCGCATTCCAGGAAAACTCGCAATGTTTCGCTAATGTTTGTGAGAGAGGGAAAGCGATTTTGAAGCACAGAATTAAAGAATGACATTAAATGATAAAGAGGTTATCACGCTTGTGTGTTTGGGGATGGTAAATATCCTGTATTAGGAATATACACTATGTATTTAGCTCGCCAAGGCTCGCTAAATACAATGTTTATTCCTAATGCAGGATATTTACCATCCCCAAACACACTCGCGTGATAACCTCTGTCCTCAGATCCTTGTTAGCGAAAGCCAGAACTAAGATCTGATTTTAATGAGATTGCATCAATAGTAACCTACATTCTGGTATTTCAACTTCCTGAGAAAGGACCCGTGAAGATCCGGGGAAGAATAGGTCTTCAGCAACCCATGCTTGCCGTGAAAGGCGATTATGCTTGTCGTAAAAGGCAACTAATGGGATCGCGTGGTCAGGCTCGCTGACTTGGTTGATGCATGTCATCGATCCCAATTGCGTGGATCGATGCTCATGATGTCAATCACAGGATTGTCTGGTCCAGACTCGATTATTTACAGACCGCCGTCATATAGCTGGAATATTGTTGAGGGCGGCGTTAAACAACAAACAAACAAATCCTGAGAAAGGATGCATATATCCACCAATATTGCAGGAACAACACTGAAACCAAGTGGGCTATAGCTGAAGAACTGTTGTTTATTAGGCACTTTTTAGACAATGATGGATGACAAAGTGGACAATTCATGGGCAACAACTTCTTCATTAAACTGTATGATAAGGGACTGGTCATGACAGGGTGGGATGGGTCAGAGGTTTTGGATGTACTGAAAATGATGATGATGAATAGATGGCAGCCCCAGGAGATGGGGGCTCCTATAAGGTTTACAGTGGCCTGCAGATTTCTGTTAACATGCAGGCATTTTTATGACAATTCTATCCATTTTAGCTATAAGGGGATATAATTGTACTGCACAATACCCTTATAACACCTATTGGACCAGAGCCTTAGCTCAAATATACAAATTGCATATACAAACACTATATCAAAATGTAATTACTCTGAGATCATCATAAACAAAAATTAATACTTCTCAAACAGAAATTAAAGAAGACTTCTAAAATACATCTGTGATGCAAAATAAGACCATTCATTATGAAAATAGACACGTGAACATAAGGTGTATTATCATATTTTTCCTAAAAAATACCAGTAAGTACGAAGAGAGCAAGGACATCACATATACACTATTGAAGGTATGTAATATTTGTAATATTTGAAAACAATGTACACAGTCTGAGATTTTTAATGCTGACACTATTAACATGATTAAGAGCCTTGTTCTGGAAAGAATTCCTAAGCAAGGAATATCAAAGTGTATTAAAAACCTTCTCTTGGCCAATATTTAGGGAGGGTAATTTTAAAATTGTTTTGATTTTTGTTCACTGATTTCACAGTAAAAGTCCATGCACAGTCTAGCATAACTGACTGGTGATGGACACATTCCCGACATTACAAATGTGTAGATAACTGTTTACACATATTCCTCAGACAAGTTTACACCAGTGTTATGCCGACAATGCTTCATTAACTATAAACACACTCATAATCAGAAACAGAAAGTATTGACATTGCTGATGCATCTTACATCCTCAGTTTCAGACCACACACGATGATGTTGCTGGGGATGTGATGATGTCATCTGTTGTTGCTGCTGCCGCTCCATCACATCCCCAGTTTCAGACCACACACGATGATGTTGCTGGGGACGCGATGATGTCATCTGTTGTTGCTGCTGCCGCTCCATCATATCCCCAGTTTCAGACCACACACGATGATGTTGCTGGGGACGCGATGATGTCATCTGTTGTTGCTGCTGCCGCTCCATCACATCCTCAGTTTCAGACCACATACGATGATGTTGCTGGGGACGTGATGATGTTATCTGTTGTTGCTGCTGCCGCCCCATCACATCCTCAGTTTCAGACCACAAACGATGATGTTGGTGGAAATGTGATGGTGTAGACTGCTGTTGCTGCTGCTGTATCGTATCTTCACCTTGAGATCACACAGAATGATGTTGCTGGGGATATGACGATGTCGTCTGCTGCTGTTGCTGTTGCTGTTGTTGGTGTTGTATCACATCCTCAGCTTCAGATCACAGAGACACTTATATAACTGGAAAACTGCTAAAAGTGGCGTTAGAATGTGACGCTGATGTCAGCTGCCTCTGCTGCTGCTGTATCACATTGTCAGCTTCAGATCACACACACTGATGCTGCTAGGGATATGACGATGTCGTCTGCTGTTACTGCTGCCGCTCCATCACATCCTCAGGTTCAGGTCACACAGTCTGTTATGACTGGGGATGGCAGCAGCACCCGCGACGGCAATACCCACAGCATCCCCTACTGTGGCCACGCCCAAACTGAACTCTCGGACCTCAGGGGCAATCTGGTGAAAGACACATGCATCATCATCATCATCATCATCATCAACATCATCATCAGCGTAATCATCATCGTCGTCATCGTCGTCGTCATCATCGTCGTCCTCGTCATCATCATCATCGTCGTCGTCATCATCATCGTCATCGTCGTCGTCGTCGTCGTCGTCGTCGTCGTCATCATCATCATCGTCATATAGGAGGAATGCTCAAGTATTGTCAGTCAGTGCGTCCCAGCACGCCGGCTTGATATAAGAGGAATGTTCAAGTATTGTCAGTCGGTGCGTCCCAGCATGCCGGCTTGATATAGGAGAAATGTTCAAGTATTGTCAGTCAGTGCGTCCCAGCAAGCCGGCCTGATATAGGAGGAATGTTCAAGTATTGTCAGTCAGTGCGTCCCAGCACGCGGGCTTGATATAGGAGGAATGTTCAAGTATTGTCAGTCAGTGCGTCCCAACACGCGGGCTTGATATAGGACAAATGTTCAAGTATTGTCAGTCAGTGCGTCCCAGCATGCCGTCTTGATATAGGAGAAATGTTCAAGTATTGTCAGTCAGTGTGTCCCAGCACGCTGGCTTGATGGAGGAGGAATGTTCAAGTATTGTCAGTCAGTGCGTCCCAGCATGCCGTCTTGATATAGGAGGAATGTTCAAGTAATGTCAGTCAGTGCATCCCAGCATGCCAGCTTGACATAGGAGGAATGTTCAAGTATTGTCAGTCAGTGCGTCCCACCACACCGGCTTGATGGAGGAGGTACGCCCAAGTATTATCTGTCACACACAGTCCAATAGTTTGAACCCTGGCTAGCGAATCCTGCCACAGGTATGGGACAAAACCGTGAATGCCTTATACAACTGTTTCCACTCTATCAAAGATTCACATCAGAAGAACTTTTGTGAGAAGACAAATATACCAGTTATGTAAACAAGATGTCTGATGGCCTACCTCTTTCCGTATCCTGTAGAAGGTGTTGACGTAGGCTCCGCCACCCAGTAAACCCTCGAAGAACACGATGGCGATGATGATCCAGATGTTGGGGATGTATCGGTAGAAGATCTGGGTCAGCAACACAGCAAGGTTGCCAAACTACATCAATAGAAAGGCATCATTGTTCACAAGGTCAAGATGACATGGAGACACTAACATGGCACCATGCCCATGCATTACGAGTAATGAACCCGTGAAGATCCGGGGTAGAATAGGTCTCAGCAACCCATGCTTGCCGCAAAAGGTGACTATACTTGTCGTAAGAGGCGACTAACTGGATCGGGAGGTCAGGCTCGCTGACTTGGTTGAAGCATGTCATTGTATCCCAATTGGGTGGATCAATGCTCATGATATCAATCACTGGATTGTCTGGTCCAGACTCGATTATTTACAGACCACCGTCATGTAGCTGGAATACTGCTGAGTGTGGCGTTAAACAACAAACAAACACACAAAGAAACAAACAACAACTAGGAATGAGTATTGGATGTTTAAAGTGTATCACAATATCTTACAATGCACAAGGCCTTATTGCGATAGGTATCACAATATTTTGCATAATTCAAAATTTTGAATTCAGAAGCAATTTGAAACATCAATATAGGAACTGAAGTTCAATAATTGAGCAAAACAAGATGCTGGAACAGCATAATATTTACTCATTCAATAAATACCCAAGGATGCACTCTCCGGGACAGTGATGACTTGATTTTACACCGTTGCCACAGAAGAACTCCAGAATGCGAACTTGCATTTTGGAATTACCAAAATACTTCGAAAGTACATGTATTTGGCCAGTGTAAAACATTAAACACATGATAAAAATCGCTATTTGAAATCACCCGATATACCGAGCATTAAACATGATATTGTGATGCGTATCGTGGAAAGAATGAACCTTGATTTAAAGATATACCGGTAATACCAGCACCCTTATTCATTACCATACTCAACAGAACAAGATAATAACAATTCCCAATAGTTCATACTTCCAGGTACCCATTATACAGATGGAAGATAGAGACACCCTGAGTTTCCTACTCAGTGTCAGTAATACATGAAGTACAAGGAAAATACACCACAGGATATGAATCTGTGAATTTGTCTTTTTGGTCTACATACTCATCTTTAGCATGTCAGAATACTGATGCCAGGTCTCACCTGTAGTATAGGCAGTATCCACAGCTTCCGTATCTCGAAGCAGTTGACGGAGGAGCGTGATATGAACACCCCTATCTGGTAGTCCACTTGGTACCTACAACATCACAAGCAGTGGTCTAGCATCTTGTGGAGGAGGCGGTGTCTCATAGATGAGTGTACAAATGAAGCATTTACTGAAGGACATTCACATTCTAGTTGTACCTTCAGGACAGCTTTAACATGTACCATCAGGGCACTGTCAACGTGTACCGTCAGGGCACCGTCAATGTGTACCGTCGGGGCACCGTCAATGTGTACCTTCGGGGCACCGTCAATGTGTACCATCACAATAATGTCAACATGTGCCATCACAATACTGTCAACGTGTACCATCACAATACTGTGAACATGTACCATCACAAGACTGTCAACATGTACCATCACAATACTGTCAACATGTACCATCACAATACTGTCAACGTGTACCATCACAACACTGTCACCGTGTACCATCACAAGACTGTCAACATGTACCATCACAATACTGTCAACATGTACCATCACAATACTGTCAACGTGTACCATCACAATACTGTCAACATGTACCATCACAATACTGTCAACGTGTACCATCACAACACTGTCACCGTGTACCATCACAACACTGTCACCGTGTACCATCACAATAATGTCAACATGTGCCATCACAATACTGTCAACGTGTACCATCACAATACTGTGAACATGTACCATCACAATACTGTCAACATGTACCATCACAATAATGTCAACATGTGCCATCACAATACTGTCAACGTGTACCATCACAAGACTGTCAACATGTACCATCACAATACTGTCAACATGTACCATCACAAGACTGTCAACATGTACCATCACAATACTGTCAACATGTACCATCACAATACTGTCAACGTGTACCATCACAACACTGTCACCGTGTACCATCACAACACTGTCACCGTGTACCATCACAATAATGTCAACATGTGCCATCACAACACTGTCACCGTGTACCATCACAATACTGTCAACATGTACCATCACAATACTGTCAACGTGTACCATCACAACACTGTCACCGTGTACCATCACAACACTGTCACCGTGTACCATCACAATAATGTCAACATGTGCCATCACAATACTGTCAACGTGTACCATCACAAGACTGTCAACGTGTACCATCACAATACTGTCCACATGTACCATCACAAGACTGTCAACATGTACCATCACAATACTGTCAACATGTACCATCACAATACTGTCAACGTGTACCATCACAACACTGTCACCGTGTACCATCACAACACTGTCAGCGTGTACCATCACAATAATGTCAACATGTGCCATCACAATACTGTCAACGTGTACCATCACAATACTGTGAACATGTACCATCACAATACTGTCAACATGTACCATCACAATAATGTCAACATGTGCCATCACAATACTGTCAACGTGTACCATCACAAGACTGTCAACATGTACCATCACAATACTGTCAACATGTACCATCACAATACTGTCAACGTGTACCATCACAACACTGTCACCGTGTACCATCACAACACTGTCAGCGTGTACCATCACAATAATGTCAACATGTGCTATCACAATACTGTCAACATGTACCATCACAATACTGTCAACGTGTACCATCACAATACTGTCAACGTGTACCATCACAATACTGTCAACGTGTACCATCACAATACTGTCAACATGTACCATCACAATACTGTCAACATGTACCATCACAATACTGTCAACGTGTATCACCATGTACAATCACAATACTGTCAACATGTACCATCACAATAATGTCAACATGTGCCATCACAATACTGTCAAACGTGTACCATCACAACACTGTCAACATGTACCATCACAATAATGTCAACGTGTACCATCACAATACTGTCCACATGTACCATCACAATACTGTCAACATGTGCCATCACAATACTGTCAACGTGTACCATCACAATACTGTCAACGTGTACCATCACAATACTGTCAACGTGCACCATCACAATACTGTCAACATGTACCATCACAATACTGTCAACATGTGCCATCACAATACTGTCAACGTGTACCATCACAATACTGTCAAAATGTACCATCACAATACTGTCAACATGTACCATCACAAGACTGTCAACATGTACCATCACAATACTGTCAACGTGTACCATCACAATACTGTGAACATGTACCATCACAAGACTGTCAACATGTACCATCACAATACTGTCAACATGTACCATCACAATACTGTCAACGTGTACCATCACAACACTGTCACCGTGTACCATCACAAGACTGTCAACATGTACCATCACAATACTGTCAACATGTACCATCACAATACTGTCAACGTGTACCATCACAATACTGTCCACATGTACCATCACAAGACTGTCAACATGTACCATCACAATACTGTCAACATGTACCATCACAATACTGTCAACGTGTACCATCACAACACTGTCACCGTGTACCATCACAACACTGTCACCGTGTACCATCACAATAATGTCAACATGTGCCATCACAATACTGTCAACGTGTACCATCACAATACTGTGAACATGTACCATCACAATACTGTCAACATGTACCATCACAATAATGTCAACATGTGCCATCACAATACTGTCAACGTGTACCATCACAAGACTGTCAACATGTACCATCACAATACTGTCAACATGTACCATCACAAGACTGTCAACATGTACCATCACAATACTGTCAACATGTACCATCACAATACTGTCAACGTGTACCATCACAACACTGTCACCGTGTACCATCACAACACTGTCACCGTGTACCATCACAATAATGTCAACATGTGCCATCACAACACTGTCACCGTGTACCATCACAATACTGTCAACATGTACCATCACAATACTGTCAACGTGTACCATCACAACACTGTCACCGTGTACCATCACAACACTGTCACCGTGTACCATCACAATAATGTCAACATGTGCCATCACAATACTGTCAACGTGTACCATCACAAGACTGTCAACGTGTACCATCACAATACTGTCCACATGTACCATCACAAGACTGTCAACATGTACCATCACAATACTGTCAACATGTACCATCACAATACTGTCAACGTGTACCATCACAACACTGTCACCGTGTACCATCACAACACTGTCAGCGTGTACCATCACAATAATGTCAACATGTGCCATCACAATACTGTCAACGTGTACCATCACAATACTGTGAACATGTACCATCACAATACTGTCAACATGTACCATCACAATAATGTCAACATGTGCCATCACAATACTGTCAACGTGTACCATCACAAGACTGTCAACATGTACCATCACAATACTGTCAACATGTACCATCACAATACTGTCAACGTGTACCATCACAACACTGTCACCGTGTACCATCACAACACTGTCAGCGTGTACCATCACAATAATGTCAACATGTGCTATCACAATACTGTCAACATGTACCATCACAATACTGTCAACGTGTACCATCACAATACTGTCAACGTGTACCATCACAATACTGTCAACGTGTACCATCACAATACTGTCAACATGTACCATCACAATACTGTCAACATGTACCATCACAATACTGTCAACGTGTATCACCATGTACAATCACAATACTGTCAACATGTACCATCACAATAATGTCAACATGTGCCATCACAATACTGTCAAACGTGTACCATCACAACACTGTCAACATGTACCATCACAATAATGTCAACGTGTACCATCACAATACTGTCCACATGTACCATCACAATACTGTCAACATGTGCCATCACAATACTGTCAACGTGTACCATCACAATACTGTCAACGTGTACCATCACAATACTGTCAACGTGCACCATCACAATACTGTCAACATGTACCATCACAATACTGTCAACATGTGCCATCACAATACTGTCAACGTGTACCATCACAATACTGTCAAAATGTACCATCACAATACTGTCAACATGTACTATCACAATACTGTCAACATGTACCATCACAATACTGTCAACGTGTACCATCACAATACTGTCAACATGTACCATCACAATACTGTCCACATGTACCATCACAATACTGTCAACATGTACCATCACAATACTGTCAACGTGTACCATCACAATACTGTCAACGTGTACCATCACAATACTGTCAACGTGTACCATCACAATACTGTCAATACTTACCAGCGGTACTGCTCGGACTTGCTCAGCCAGATATTGTTGAAGTACAGCAGTTCATGCTGAAACACAGGGCAGTCATACAGACGCTGCTAATCTCACGGGGGCACAGGTGGCCCAGTTGTCTAAGGCGCCGCGATTCGCTGTGCAGAGTTGCGGCCCTTGGGCACGCCAGAAACCTATGATTGTGGGTTCGAATTCCGGTTCGCCCCGATTACGTTTCAAGGTTTGTCAGCACCATACCCATGCTCGTGGGTTTCACCAAAGTGGCAAAGTGAGACCTGCATCACTTCGGGCTTTCCTCCCACATTAAGCTGACACGCCGCAATATAACTGGAATACTGTTAAAAGCGGCGTTAAACCCAACTAGCTCACTCACTCACTGCTCATCTCACACGTACTTGTCTGGACGGTCTTGTCTTACCATCTTCTATCCATCATTGACGGTAGGGGTGAAACGATACAGTAAGGTCATGATACGATACTTATCACGATACATAGGTCATAATACGATATGTATTGTGATACATAGGTCAAGATACGATACTTATTGCGATACATGTCACAATACGATATGTTTTGGAATACATAGGTCATGATACGATATGTATTATGATACATAGGTCACGAAAAGATATGATACTTATCACGATACATCAGTCACGATACGATATGGCTTATGATACATAGGTCATGAAATGATAAGTATCGCGATACAAAGGGAAAGCTAGCCGTAGACACATGTTCATAGCAGCTCTTTTGAGTAGGGAACTTGAAACGCTAATTACAACACAGTTTGCAATATTTGACTGACAAAACGCTGAAGTGGGGTTCATTAAACGAGTAGTTAATGATTTTCTTCAGCAAGTGTATCGTCTTGTATCAGTATCGGGTATTGTATCATCACATGAAAACTCATGATGCAGGGAAAACCGATGTATCATTCCCTCCCTAATCAATGGTAGTGTGAAAACGAACCTCGTCTATTTTAAAGTCAAACTGAAGTCATTCATTAGGTTCCAAAGGGCATAATGGTTTGGTATGTTTTGCAGGATACTTGAATGTTGAACACTTAATGCTGAAATATCAGTGAAATTATCATTTTATTTTTTTGTTTCTCCCCTTTTAATGCCTCACTCAGCAATATTTCAGCTATATGGCGTCTGCCTGTAAACAAACCAATCTGATCCAGTCAAAACCATTGACTGATATCATGAGCAACCATCCATGTTGTCGAGTACAATGACAAGCTTCAACTGAGTGAGTGAGTGAGTGAGTGAGTGAGTGAGTGAGTGAGTGAGTGAGTTGGGTTTAAGGCTGCTTTGAATAGTCTTCCAGTTATATCACGGCGTGTCAGCTTAATGTGGGAGGAAAGCCCGAAGTGATGCAGGTCTCAGACGTTTACCACTTCGGTGAAACCCACGAGCAGAGGTGCTGACAAACCTAGAAACACAGCCGTGCCCCTACAGAGCTTGACCACCTACATAAGTCACATCATACGACAAGCATAGATGGCTAGGTACCGGAGTAAGTAAGTTTGGTATTTCCTGAATATTCTCACAGTTCTTGCAGCGATTATCTGTACCTTTTCTCCCAATACAGATTGCCATATCTCGTCCACTTTGGGATGCGATCATTTGGGAATTGCGTTTATCTGCATTGCCCATCTACATCTATGGGGAACAACACACTAATCTCTCAAAAGAGTGAGTGAGTGAGTGAGTATGGTTTTACGCCGCTTTTTTAGCAATATCCCAGCAATATCACGGCGGGGGACACCCGAAATGGGCTTCACACAATGTACCCATGTCAGGAATCGAACCTGGGTCTTCGGCGTGACAAGCGAACGCTTTAACCACTAGGCTACCTGACCGCCCCTCTCTCAAAAGAAACATGGTCGTAATCATGTTGCAAGCACATGTTCGAATCTCGAGAAATGGCGTCATGATAGAACAATGTTATGTGAAACAAACCATGCCTGTTTAATCTTTGTTCTTTGTGATTTATCTCATAGCTATCTGCTATAAGCAGGTCATAAGGCCCATACCTAGGGGAGCTGATACGTCATATTAGAAGTAACTAGTCTGACACTAGAAAGGAGCGAGTGATAGTGATCACTGTGCACGTCATACTTTAGCCATGGACTGTGTAGCTGCCCTCCATAGATGTGCCGTAAATGGCTGCTTGTGGGTTCAAATCCCAGATTCTCATATTTTGTCTTCTATTGGTCATACGCATGTGGTCTATGACCTGTGCCACTGTGAGCTTTTCTCCAAAATAAAGCAGTGATATAACTGAAATACTTTACAAAGAAGCATTTACAACCAACCGAGTCACTAGTCTGAACTCACCTCTACCAATCCTTAGTCTGAGCCTCTCACCACACTCACTATACTGATCTCACCAAACCTACTCACTAGACTGAACTCACCCAACACAGTAACTTGTCTGAACTCACCCAACACAGTAACTTGTCTTAACCCATCCAACCCACTCACTAGTCTGAATTCACCCAACCTACTCACTAGACTGAACTCACCCAACCTAATCACTAGTCTGAACTCACCCAACACAGTAACTTGTCTTAACCCATCCAACCCACTCACTAGTCTGAACTCACCCAACCTACTCACTAGACTGAACTCACCCAACCTACTCACTAGACTGAACTCACCCAACCTACTCACTAGACTGAACTCACCCAACACAGTAACTTGTCTTAACCCATCCAACCCACTCACTAGTCTGAACTCACCCAACCTACTCACTAGTCTGAACTCACCCAACCTACTCACTAGACTGAACTCACCCAACCTACTCACTAGACTGAACTCACCCAACACAGTAACTTGTCTTAACCCATCCAACCCACTCACTAGTCTGAACTCACCCAACCTACTCACTAGACTGAACTCACCCAACCTACTCACTAGACTGAACTCACCCAACACAGTAACTTGTCTTAACCCATCCAACCCACTCACTAGTCTGAACTCACCCAACCTACTCACTAGACTGAACTCACCCAACCTACTCACTAGACTGAACTCACCCAACACAGTAACTTGTCTTAACCCATCCAACCCACTCACTAGTCTGAACTCACCCAACCTACTCACTAGACTGAACTCACCCAACCTACTCACTAGACTGAACTCACCCAACCTACTCACTAGACTGAACTCACCCAACACAGTAACTTGTCTTAACCCATCCAACCCACTCACTAGTCTGAACTCACCCAACCTGCTCACTAGACTGAACTCACCCAACCTACTCACTAGACTGAACTCACCCAACACAGTAACTTGTCTTAACCCATCCAACCTACTCACTAGACTGAACTCACCCAACCCACTCACTAGTCTGAACTCACCCAACCTACTCACTAGACTGAACTCACCCAACCTACTCACTAGACTGAACTCACCCAACCTACTCACTAGACTGAACTCACCCAACCTACTCACTAGACTGAACTCACCCAACACAGTAACTTGTCTTAACCCATCCAACCCACTCACTAGTCTGAACTCACCCAACCTACTCACTAGACTGAACTCACCCAACCTACTCACTAGACAGAACTCACCCAACCTCATCACTAGACTGAACTCACCCAACACAGTAACTTGTCTGAACTCACCCAACCCAATCCATAGTCTGAACTCAACCCAGTAACTAGTCCGAACTAACTCAACCCAGGTGCTAGTCAGAACTCATCCAGTCACTAGTCTGAACCCATCAAACCCATTTGGTTGTCTGAACTCACCAGGCCCTGGTTGATGAAATATTCAGCGAAGTAGACAAGCGACAAGGGTATCATGTACTTCAACAGAGGCTGAAACAAACATGTGACACATCCTTTAGAAACACATTACACATCCTTCACAAACACATTACACATCCTTCACAAACATGTGACAAATCTTTTACAAACACTGACACAGCCTTAATCACCTAAATTTGGAATTTTTTATCTCACCAAAAGAAAACTGCCAAAAAGCACATATATACCCTTAATAGTAATCCCAATAGTAATTTCAATAGTAACCTCAATTGTAATCTCAATAGTAACCTCAATTGTAATCTCAATAGTAACCTCAATTGTAATCTCAATAGTAACCTCAATAGTAATCACAAAAGTAATCTCAATAGTAACCTCAATAGTAATCTCAATAGTAATCTCAAAAGTAATCTCAATAGTAACCTCAATAGTAGTCTCAATAGTAATCTCAATAGTAACCTCAATAGTAATCTCAAAAGTAATCTCAATAGTAACCTCAATAGTAATCCCAATAGTAATCCCAAAAGTAATCTTAATAGTAACCTCAATAGTAATCTCAATAGTAATCTTAATAGTAATCCCAATAGTAATCACAAAAGTAATCTTAATAGTAACCTCAATAGTAATCTCAATAGTAATTTCAATAGTTACCTCAATAGTAACCTCAATAGTATTCTCAATAATAACCTGAATTGTAACCTCAATATTAACCTCAATAGTAATCACAACATAATCACAAAAGTAATCTTAATAGTAACCTCAATAGTAATCTCAACAGATACTCATAAATGACAAAAATCCACAACAATACAATGGCGTGGCTTTATTTTTTTGCATTATGAACTCTCCTATGAAATTCATTTTTGAGACAAAAATCAGATAAGTTTGCTTGAGTTCTTTGTTTACTTGTACAATGTACTGAGAATTTAGAAGCCTCACTGCCAATTGGCTGACAAGAAAGTCCACCTGATGTGACCTCCTATCGAGGTGTTCTCTGATCTTCACACAGACAGGTGTCATACTGGAACCAAACATCTGTTTTTAAGACGTTGCTTGTATTGCGGCACAAGGTATGACAGGGAGTCATTTCGCCACTACCAGGAGAATCGTGCATTACGTTTGCTTGCGTTACTGATATGCTGCATGTCAAACGTTGTTAGTTGTCCATACATGAAAACCTGTATTCCACAACGTATACTCACAATGACAAGCGCTGCTTTACCCTTCAAACTGATCACTGAAAGCAGAAAATATACACACGGTGTACACAATGTACACAAGTTTAGTGGATCTCAGTCCCCAAATGTAAACAAGTACCCACATCACATATGCTGGTGATCGTGTTTCTGGACAAAAGAAGTTAAAATCATGTAGTCAATATTCATGATTTTAAGATTCACGAACATTCATAATCTAAAAAGTTCATGAAATAGCATTTCTATTTAAGTTCATGCATATTCATGAAAGTTATTATTTATGATTATTCATAAATTATTCATTATCAACTCGCTGGTGTGTGACCAGATCTTGACTAGATATGACATGAAGTGCCTCCTCAATTAACCTGTATATTAAATCTCCATTCTATCATGGTAAATACCCTACAACTACGTTTTGAGACTGGTTCGATTGACTTGATGCTAAAAATAGACATCCAATCAAGAACTACACTGGTCTTTGGTGATTGACACAAGTGAAATTATACAAGTACTCGACTCAGCTTTCTGCATGCCGTCTTAAATACACCCAGAACAACTTGTAACATAAGAACTCCCTCCTGTCCTAGTACTTACAAAAACATCCAGATAAACTCATCTACAGCAGTCTTCTTATTCATTTAAATACACAGCTTTGACAAGCACAGAGATATGACACACTGGTTCGTCGTGGCATGCATGTATCCTCGTAGCACAGATATATGATACACTAGGTCAGTTTAATCTAGTTTTGCTACATTAAATTTACATAACACACTTTTTTGATTCCCACTGGAGAGCCTAATGACTCATGGCTGTTAATGTAGCATTGCAGCCTTGGTTTATTAAAGGTCACGACCACCTGTCACCGAGGGCATTGATAACTCTGCTTTGAGTGTACACAAATACATAATTACATGTACAGCATTCCACTGTACATATTAATGTAGCCAGCAGTTACGTTCTGTCTACCTGGTTGTGTGGTAATCAGCTGTTCTGTGCTGGTTTCTAGAGCGGGGGTATCATTGGGCGTCGGCTTCTTGAGAACGAGGAAGTAACTGAAACCCAAAGGGAGCAATGAAACATTCCATCAAAAACTAGACTTGGACTGACCTGATGAACATGATGACAGACTTGGAATGACCTGATGACAGACTTGGACTGACCTGATGACGGACTTGGACTGACCTGATGAACGTGATGACAGACTTGGACTGACCTGATGAACGTGATGACAGACTTGGACTGACCTGATGACAGACTTGGACTGACCTAATGAACATGATGACAGACTTGGACTGACCTGATGACAGACTTGGACTGACCTGATGAACATGATGACAGACTTGGACTGACCTGATGAACATGATGACAGACTTGGACTGACCTGATGACAGACTTGGACTGACCTGATGAAAGTGATGACAGACTTGGACTGACCTGATGAACACGATGACAGACTTGGACTGACCTGATGACAGACTTGGACTGACCTGATGACAGACTTGGACTGACCTGATGAACATGATGACAGACTTGAACTGACCTGATGAACATGATGACAGACTCGGACTGACCTGATGAACATGATGACAGACTTGGACTGACCTGATGAACATGATGACAGACTTGGACTGACCTGATGAACATGATGACAGACTTGGAATGACCTGATGAACATGATGACAGACTCGGACTGACTTGATGACAGACTTGGACTGACCTGATGACAGACTTGGACTGACCTGATGAACGTGATGACAGACTTGGACTGACCTGATGAACGTGATGACAGACTTGACTGACCTGATGAACATGATGACAGACTTGGACTGACCTGATGACAGACTTGGACTGACCTGATGAACATGATGACAGGCACCACTGTGAGGATGAGGACGGTGGTTCGCGGACTCACCACTTGGGTGAAGCCAGCGTACGCCAGTGCACCAAACACCCCGGCACCTCCAGTTCCAGACGACCAGGCAGACACCACATCGCTGGGGGAGACAAAGAACTGAAGAACTCAACCAAAGAATCCAATCCCATTATTCTGTGGCATAAATGATGAACAATCTTGTCTGATGCCATGGTGGTCTTATTCAAAGAGTGACATTAATCAGCACACAAAAATATTTTATAAATATCTTTAAAAATACCTTTTCACTGTTATTGATGTCATTCACTCTAGAATGACAACAAGTGTATGTCAGTGTGAATGTGTTATATATGTGTACAGATTGTTGTGTGGACTTACCAGTGGAAGAAGGTGGAGAGACTGAGGTAGGTGATCTCACCCAGACCGCCGCTGATGCTGGCACACACCACACCTGAAGGAAAACCACAGGAGGTGAAACACACAACACAAACACAGCACACAAACACACAACACAAACACAGCAAACAAACACACCGCACAAATACTCAGCATGAACAAACTGCACCAACACACTGCACAAACAGACCTCACAAACTCACGCTATGGCACAAACACATCACACAAACACACAACACAAACAAACCACACAAACACATGGAATCACACAAACACATCGCATAAACACACCACACAAACACATTGCACAAATACCCCCCACACACATATCACACAAACACATGGCACAAACACACCACACAAACACATTGCACAAATACCCCACACACACATCACACAAACACACCGCACAAACACACCATGAACAAACACATTGCACAAACATACCACACAAACACACCACACAACACAAACAAACCACACAAACACACCGCACATACACACCGCACACAAACACACCATACAAACACACCGCACAAACACACCACGCAAATGTAAAACACATACACACCACACAAACACATTGCACAAACACACAGTATCTCACAAACACATGGCACAAACACATTACACAAACACACCACACAAATAAATAGTATAGCACAAAATACACCACACAAAAACGTTGCACAAACATCAAACAAACTCACCTCACATAAACACACGGTACCACACAAACAGACCACTCATACACACCGCACAAACACACGGTATCACACAAACACATCACACAAGCACACGGTATCACACAAACACACCACACCACACATGATATTACAAGGAATGTCTGTAACGACATGTGATATCATCTAGAATGTCTGTGACGACATGTGATATTACCTAGAATGTCTGTGAAGACATGTGATATAACCTAAAATGTCTGTGACGACATGTGATATTACCTAGAATGTCTGTGACGACATGTGATATCATCTAGAATGTCTGTGAAGACATGTGATATTACCTAGAATGTCTGTGACGACATGTGATATTACCTAGAATGTCTGTGACGACATGTGATATCATCTAGAATGTCTGTGAAGACATGTGATATTACCTAGAATGTCTGTGACGACATGTGATATCATCTAGAATGTCTGTGACGACATGTGATATCATCTAGAATGTCTGTGACGACATGTGATATCATCTAGAATGTCTGTGAAGACATGTGATATCATCTAGAATGTCTGTGAAGACATGTGATATTACCTAGAATGTCTGTGGCGACATGTGATATTACCCAGAATGTCTGTGACGACATGTGACATTACCTAGAATGTCTGTGGCGACATGTGATATTACCCAGAATGTCTGTGACGACATGTGATATTACCTAGAATGCTGAGCCAAATCTGTTTGGACAGCGCCACCAGGAGGAAGCTGGCCAGAGCAAATGCCACCACAAGAATCACCTTCACCCTGGAACAGACTCAAAGCTGTATCTCCAACACTTCACAGGCTACACTACACAGAGCTCCAGACAACTTTTTGAGCAATTGAATTTTTACTCTACGGTTTCTATTTTAATTGGGTTATTACATTTTTCATTGGGTAAGTATTATCTTTTCACTCATCTATTCATCACTCCATAGGGTTTTTCCCAAAATTAGTGAACATTTAAAGATTTTAAAAAAGTGAAACAATGTTTTAGATGTGTATAACTGTTCTAAATAATCTTACATAGGGCTTGACGGGGAAAGTAAATTAGCTCGTAATTGTGTTTCGGAAATTAGCTCCTTAATACGCATGCTGAAAAAGCTTCATTGGGTATCTATGCGAGCTGTTTTTATACATTTGAGTTTTTCATTTAATGCATGCATTTCTGTACGCAAGTTAATTGAAAGTAATTGGGTTTTGAATGTTTTAGGGGGTATTTTACGCAAATACGCTGCTTATCTGTAGCTCTGACTATGTCCCTCCATCACCTGCTGATACACACAGCTGCTATTTGAACCAATGAATCACAGCCTGCTTCCAGTCCACTGACCAATCAACACTCAGGATACATAGCATAATGGGCGAAGTTCCTTCCTTGACAACGTGTACACCATGTTGGTTGGTTGGTTTTTTGTTTAACGCCGACTCATCAATATTCCAGCTATATGGCGGCGGTCTGTAAATAAACGAGTATGGACCAGACAATCCAGTGATTGATATCATGAGCATCGATCCACGAAGATGGGATACGATGATAAGCATCAATCAAGTCAGTGAGCCTGACCACCCGATCCCGTTAGTCGCCTCTTACGACAAGCATAGTCACCTTTTAAGGCAAGTATGGGTTGCTGAAGACCTATTCTACCCCGGATCTTCAGGGCTCTGTATACGCATTACACATTTCATCCGGCAATGGTAGGAGTCTCGAAAAGTACATAGAAATAGTTAGGCCCATTTGATTTCCGTAACCTCTGCATTGCCTCATTAGGCGACATAGCAGAGACTTTCACCACCACACAGCAAGAAACTATTTATACTCACAGGTGATGGAGAAACATTGTGTATACAACCCTGTACATCTTCCCCAAGCTCCTTCCCAGCGCGTGACACCTTTGTTACACTCTCGGTAACATCGCTGCCACCAGTGTGGGCGCGGCCATTACAAGAATCTTGAAATTTGTCCTCTAACCCCAAACGTAGTAACGTTGATACTTTTGTTTATGTCTTTGAGAATGCCATCATATTTCATTTTGAAAAGGTTTACGACTGACCATGTTTTCCAGATGAATTTACTTTGTTGTTTTAATAATCAGATTGGTTCGAGATTGCAGACTAACGGAAAATCAACCAACTTCTCCCTTACATTCTTACTATATCAATAACACGATAGTTTTAATGAAACAGAAATTCAAATTGACAAAGGAAGAAAGTAATTTAGCAGCGATAAGTGTATTTGGCGTCACGACAGTCGTCGCTTGTTTGTAAACATAATGGTCATCCGGTTGCGAGTTCAACTCCAAGCATGGTTGTGGCCACCTATTCACAGTGGGGAGTTTTGACTGGTGGCAGCGATAGTATAGAGAGTTCCGCGAACGGGCTATCGCTGTGAGGAGCTTGCATCTTCCCGGGACAAGGGAGTTAACTGACTGTGAAAGTCCACTTTCCACCCTTGCCGAACTAAGCTGGAATTATGGAGTTATATTTTAGATGGACTATCTAGTCTATGACAGTCCACTCACAATCCGTAACGAAATCATCCGGTTTGTAAACTGACGTGCAGATTTCAGTCGATTGCCGGATTTGCAAAGGATGTGTACCGCCAACAAAACGATATTTTCCAAATCTTTTCATGTCTTAAATCAAGGTGCTCACGTGATTTGATGCACTTTGCGAAGTAAGACTTGTTTTATCACAATATAGATTTTGAATATCGATCAGATCATCTTGACTGGGTGCTGCCATTTTGTTTGAAGCAAAAATGTAAGTGATATGAGAGGTGGAATCTGATTGGTCAATAGCAAGGACATAGCAGGGACAAAACTCACAATAGCCACTGGTGGTGCTACAATCGAGCCCAGTAATTCCAGCCTGGTACGGCAAGGGTGGAAACTAGACTTTCAGTCAGTTAACTCCCTTGCCTCAGGAAGATGAACCCCGTTTTAATGATGTTTGTCTTCACACTTCCTCCTGCAGTTTACATGTGGAATGAGAAACAAGTCTTCTTTTTTCCAACTGTATGTATGTCATCTTACCTATATCCAACTGTATGTATGTCACCTTACCTATATCCAACTGTATGTATGTCACCTGACTTATATCCAACTGTATGTATGTCATCTTACCTATATCCAACTATATGTATGTCATCTTACCTATATCCAACTGTATGTATGTCATCTTACCTATATCCAACTGTATGTATGTCACCTTACCTATATCCAACTGTATGTATGTCATCTTACCTATATCCAACTGTATGTATGTCATCTTACCTATATCCAACTGTATGTATGTCATCTTACCTATATCCAACTGTATGTATGTCACCTTACCTACATCCAACTGTATGTATGTCACCTTACCTATATCCAACTGTATGTATGTCACCTGACTTATATCTAACTGTATGTATGTCATCTTACCTATATCCAACTGTATGTATGTCACCTTACCTATATCCAACTGTATGTCACCTTACCTATATCCAACTGTATGTATGTCATCTTACCTATATCCAACTGTATGTATGTCATCTTACCTATATCCAATCTTTTGTAAATAGAAGGGAGCTGTTAGTTTAATAACCAGGGTCGGTAATATATCTGCCAATAGGATTGCCTGAAAATGGAAACAATATTCAAGTAATGTATTTACCCAATCACAACAGAACGTGCTTATATCTGTATGTCTTGTATGTGTGAGACATGACTGCTGCACTGTACAGCCCATAACATACAAAGAGGGAAAGAAATACGAGATAAACCTATATTTTCAATTTAGAGGTTTCAAACAGATTTGATACCCGTTATTTTCATTCCTAAACTAAAGCTTCAGTGTGATGTTTTAAGTGAATTATCAAATACAGTTACGTTGACTAGAAGTGTAATAATTGATCTACAAGTAAAGATAGCAAACAATCCAACTAATGCCACACTACCAATAATATGAATATACCGTATTCGACATAATAAACACCCTGGGTGCTCTCAAAATTAGAAATAGGGGGCTCTTATTAGAATGTAATTTTGTTGCGAAAAAAAACAGAGTGGAAAGATCGTAAATTTCGTGGTTTACGCTGACAGCCTGAAATGATATAAAAGAAAAGTCTGTGCATATCATACACGACAGATATATTTTCCAGAATTTAATTGCCCATAATTAGGTTGCATATAACACATGGTATGGGTATTATACACGTACAAATAAGTGTACATTGATCAATCAGAAGGGGTGCTAATTGGGATCGTTCACTAGCCAATATATTAGCAAATATCACCATGGGCGCTTATTAGAGCGGGTTGCTTATTACGTCAAATACGGTATGTTGAAAAGTGGTCTAAGAGGTTTTTGATGCACTAAAGGACCAATAATAGACGCTAATGCTTGTCATATATTTGGATGACCCTGCCTGAAAAGACCAGCTACAGCACTATATTATATTACAAAATTCCATTTTTTCATGCTGCTCCCCAAATACGAACTCGTTTGTTATATGCTCCCTTAATTATGGGCAATTAAATTCCAAAAATATGTATCTCTCGTATATTAACATTTCCGGCTGTCAGTATAAACCACAAAATTTATTTTCGACTCTGTTTTTTTTCACTAAAATAATATTCTAATAAGAGCCCCCTATTTCTAATTTTGAGAGCGCCCTGGGCGCTTATTACGTCGAATACGGTATGTGTATTGTTATTTATTACCCTCCAGAGACGGTCACATGTCTTGGAGACCATCCCCTGATCCAGCCGCCCCTACAACAATGACCGGTCCCTAATGAAACATTATTCCCAGCTGTTTAAATGGAACTCAGTCCCATGCGAACATCATACTTACACCAGTGCTGATCTTGTTACATTCCAGGAACGTGTCCGTCTGAAACACACGACACAACACTTACTCCCTACAAGCGGCGAGCTGATGAAAACATTTATAGGATGGCACGTATCTTTAATACTGATAATCCATGCTGCAGTAGGCCCAAGGACAAATACACATTTGTCTCCATGTATCATGAGGGGCGGTCGGGTAGCCTAGTGGTTAAAGCGTTCGCTCGTCCCGCCGAAGACTCAGGTTCGATTCCAGACATGGGTACAATGTGTGGAGCCCATTTCTGGTGTCCCCCGCCATGATATTGCTGGAATATTGCTAAAAGCGGCGTTAAACCATACTCACTCACTCACTCACTCATGTATCATGTACTAACAAGCATAGAATACTCATATCCCCCACCAATATGACATGTCTGGTTGTCCAAGGCATTAGCACCCCGGAAACTAGCATGACTGCCATTTTCAGTCTACTGCCTAGTCAGTCATTGCTATTGAAACTCAAAAAATAAATTTTTCGAAAATCCCAAACTATCAAAAGGCACTCGTTTACCACTAGACCTACCTATCTGCCAAGTTTATTGAAGAAATATTGTAAGTTTCTAAGATTTGCTCCAGAAACGAGCACTACCACAATTATTAGTTTATGTCAAAGTCGTAGCCATGGAAACTAGAAAAATTAATTTTCCAAAATCCCAAACTATCCAAAGGCACCAGTTCAACACTAGATCTATCTATGTGCGAAGTATGGTTAAGATATCTCTCATGGTTTTTGGTGGGTTTAATCGGGCACCATTTGTTTGAGAGGAAGAAGAGGTACCCTACCCAGTGCCCTCCCCTCCAGTCTTAAGTCGCCATGACGCCAGAAGCAGGATCTGCTACCCACAAATAAGTTATCAAAACCTGTGCTCACCTCTCAAAGCAGATTGAAACCTGTGCCATGTCCACCGCGGGACTAGGTCATAAGTTTAGGTGTGGTGAAGTGATTTGAAATAATTCAGACAACTTGAGTTATTAGTGAGTGAGTGAGTTGGGTTTAACGCCACTTTTAAGAGTATTCCAGTTATATCACGGCGTGTCAGCTTAATGTGGGAGGAAAGCTCGAATGATGCAGGTCTCAGACGTTTACCACTTTGGTGAAACCCACGAGCACGGGTATGGTGCTGACAAACCTAGAAACATAATTGGTGTGAACTGGGATTCAAACCCACAATCATATGTTTCTGAGTTCCCAAGGGACGCAGAGCGAATTACGGCGCCTTAGACGACTGGGTTATTAAAGCATAGGTATTGAACTATTGTATGACAAGTATTGCTGCTTACTTATCTATTACTTACATTGTTGCTTCCATTCACTGAGGGAGGTGTGGTGCCATTTTCTGGCGCCAGTGTCTAAAAGAAAGATACAGGAATTGTAACAAACAAATCAGATGATTGCATAATGTTTCAGAATGTGACCTCAAACTTAGACGATGTTGGGGTAGCCCTTGTCTGTTTGTTGTTTAAGGCCGCACTCAGCAATATTCCAGCTCTATGACGGCGGGGTAGCCAGTGGTTAAAGCATTTGCATGTTACCTCGTAGCCCAAGTTCAATTTCACACATGGGTACAATGTGTGAAGCCCATTTCTGGTGTCCTCCATTATAATGTTGGAATATTGCTAAAAGCAGCGCACAACCATAAACACTTACTAGCTCAACCTTAGACTGAGGACACACAATAAACAATCAGATCACCAAAGAGGTGAGGTGAGGTGAAATAGGGTTTAAAGTCGTGTCAAAGATTATTGCACTTATATAGCGACGTGTTTGTGTGGCTGCTTGTACTAGTCCGGACTGATGCCGATTTATAGTGCTAGCTCACTGAGATACCATGCCGCAGTTTAACACAAATACCCAACTCAGACACAGTATACTGACTCCAAGCCGACCAGTCCTTGCTTTAGCCCCGTAATGCCGAGCGCCAGACAGGGTAACAACAAGTACCATCTTTAAACATCTTTTGGCTTGACGTGGCCGGGGATCAAACCCTGGACCTTCCGCTCTCCAGGCGGACGCTCTACCACTAGACCACGGAGATCACCAAAGAGACCAGCTTAAGTTTTGTGAAATTCTTCAATGCTCATTTCACAGCACTAATCTTGACCATTGATTAAGCATGTGGCAGAAAATGCCCCAGTGTTATGAAGGTGTATTAGGTAAGACATTGCTATCATGTGAATCGGAGGACAAACACACTGAAGGAGATGTCGCCTCCAGACAGACATATGGCAGCCCTTCAGTTGAAAGGTGTCTCAAAAAGTATGTTAATCTATAATGTCACCAAATTGCTAATCTTTGCACAGACTGATCCACTATGGGCTTATACTCCAAGATACTGGGTTGAATACATACCGTGACAAGTGTGCTGTTCCCACCTCCTTCTTCCTCTGTAGCGAGGATGTCATGGGCAGCACTCAGCATCACAACGTAGGCGAAGTTGTTGGTGAGACCCAAAAACCTTGTAGAAAAAGTAAAGTCCGTCATATTGGCCTTGGTGTTGGTCTTGGTCAGTCATATTGGCCTTGGTGTTGGTCTTGGTCTGTCATATTGGCCTTGGTATAGCCTCAGTTTGTCATATTGGCCTTGGTATAGCCTCAGTCTGTCATATTGGCCTTGGTATAGCCTCAGTCTGTCATATTGGGCTTGGTATAGTCTAAGTCTGTCATATTGGCCTTGGTATAGCCTCAGTCTGTCATATTGGCCTTGGTGTTGGTCTTGGTCTGTCATATTGGCCTTGGTATAGCCTCAGTCTGTCATATTGGCCTTGGTATAGCCTCAGTCTGTCATATTGGCCTTGGTGTAGGTCTTGATCTGTCATATTAGCCTTGGTGTAGGTCTTAGTCTGTCATATTGGCCTTGGCGTTGGTATTGGTCTGTCATATTGGGCTTGGTGTAGCCTCAGTCTGTCATATTGGCCTTGGTATAGCCTAAGTCTGTCATATTGGCCTTGGTATAGGTCCAAGTCTGTCATATTACCCTTGGTATAGCCTAAGTCTGTCATATTGGCCTTGGTATAGCCTCAGTCTGTCATATTGGCCTTGGTGTAGGTCTTGGTCTGTCATATTGGGCTTGGTATAGCCTAAGTCTGTCATATTGGCCTTGGTATAGGTCCAAGTCTGTCATATTACCCTTGGTGTAGGTCTTGGTCTGTCATATTACCCTTGGTGTAGGTCTGAGTCTGGTGTAGGTCTTGGTCTGTCATATTACCCTTGGTGTAGGTCTTAGTCTGTCATATTACCCTTGGTGTAGGTCTTAGTCTGTCATATTACCCTTGGTGTAGGTCTCAGTCTGGTGTAGGTCTTGGTCTGTCATATTATCCTTGGTGTAGGTCTGAGTCTGTCATATTACCCTTGGTGTAGGTCTTAGTCTGTCATATTACCCTTTGTGTAGGTCTTGGTCTGTCATATTACCCTGGTGTAGGTCTGAGTCTGTCATATTACCCTTGGTGTAGGTCTTAGTCTGTCATATTACCCTTTGTGTAGGTCTTGGTCTGTCATATTACCCTTGGTGTAGGTCTCAGTCTGGTGTAGGTCTTGGTCTGTCATATTATCCTTGGTGTATATCTTGGCCTGATTTAACATCCATCCAAATCCTCATCTTAATGAATTGGTTTTATCATCAGCTGATCGAACAAGACATAACATATTCGACGTAATAAGCACCCCGCTCTTATAAGCGCCCACGGCGATATTTGCTAATATATTGGCTAGTGAACAATCCTAATTAGCACCCCTTCCGATAGATCAATGTACACAAGACTTATTTATTCGTGTACACACTCACGTGTTATATGCACCCTTAATTATGGGCAATTAAGTTCTGGAAGAATATATCTGGCGTATGTAAACATTTTAGGCTGTCAGCATAAACCACGAAATTTACGATCTTTCAACTGTTTTTTTCACCAAAATAATATTCAAATAAGAGCCTACTATTCCTCATTTTGAGAGCACCCTGGGCGCTTATTACATCAAATACAGTAACTAGAAATGTTAAACCATCAACCATTGTTTTCTTTAGAACTTGGCTAGTGTGTAAAGTGTTCAGATGACACCAGCTTGGGAAACAATCATAGCACCAATTCAGTGATGTGAAGTCTGTTCATGTAGACTAACATGCTTATTTAGACCTACATGCTTATTTAGACCTACATGCTTATTTAGACCTACATGCTTAGTTAGACCTACATGCTTATTTAGACCTACATGCTTAGTTAGACCTACATGCTTATTTAGACCTACATGCTTAGTTAGACCTACATGCTTATTTAGACCTACATGCTTAGTTAGACCTACATGCTTATTTAGACCTACATGCTTATTTAGACCTACATGCTTAGTTGGACCTACATGCTTATTTAGACCTACATGCTTAGTTAGACCTACATGCTTATTTAGACCTACATGCTTAGTTAGACCTACATGCTTAGTTAGACCTACATGCTTAGTTAGACCTACATGCTTAGTTAGACCTTCATGCTTAGTTAGACCTACATGCTTAGTTAGACCTACATGCTTATTTAGACCTACATGCTTAGTTAGACCTACATGCTTAGTTAGACCTACATGCTTAATTAGACCTACATGCTTATTTAGACCTACATGCTTAGTTAGACCTACATGCTTAGTTAGACCTACATGCTTAGTTAGACCTACATGCTTAGTTAGACCTACATGCTTATTTAGACCTACATGCTTAGTTAGACCTACATGCTTAGTTAGACCTACATGCTTAGTTAGACCTACATGCTTAGTTAGACACTGTTCATTAACCAACGTTCAACCAAGCTGAAGGACAGTGGCACATGATAGAACTATTAATCACCAGTTTCACATAATCAAAGTTACAATAAGCATCCAACACTTTGTGAAGCCCATGAACTCAGGGTGTGGTGCCAACACACCAAGGCTTCTAATCAGGGAAAATCTAGGATTTGAACACAAGACCAGTGGAACAGCCAAAACAGACCACTTGGCCACCCATGACCCCCAATAATGGTTGAAATCAAACATCTTATTGCCCAAATTAGACTTAAAGCTAGGGCTGGGACGAGTCCAAATTTATACCCTGGGTACTTGAGCCCCCATCACCTGACCCTAGTCAGCAATGGGACATAGGGTCCGATTGGGAATTGTTTTTCAGGAGCCCTGGCAAATGCTATTTCCATACACGTGTAAAACGATCAGATCATGCATACACTGAAGTCGACTGAGGTTATATCTTTACTCAAACGTATAAAAGTCAGAAACCATGCATGCATAGTCAGAAAGAAATGCAAACATCAGCAACTTTTACTGTTATTGTATTTAAACAATATATCACGTGACGTGAGTACCCAGGTCCTACTCTGGACCCACCTGACCCGAGTACCCGAGCTACCCGTCCCAGCCCTATTTAAAGCCCTGTGCAGACAGTGGGTGTTCCCCCATGACTCTGTGCTGGCTCCAAGTTCAGTACTTACCAGAAGCCCACCAAGTTCCTCCACTGTCTGGGGCTGTCCGCCACATTGTCTGAAACAAAGTGGAAATCTTTCATTTTTTTTTCATTATCAGATGACACAATCAACATGATTAGTATCTCCCGTACACAACAACACACAACAACAACACAACAACACACAACACTTATGTCAAAGAGATCAGTACTGGGGTCAGCATCAAGTTAGACGTTGTGATTGGTTTCGGAGTTAGACGTCATGATCTGTTTGACAATAGCGTAAAGTTAGACTACTTAATCGGTTTCAAGTTTGCATAAACTTTGACTTCATGATCGATTTTAGAGTTACCGTAACTTGGAAATGTGATTGGCTGTGAAGTTAGACGTTGTGATCAGTTTAGAGATAGACCAATTATTTAGATACTAAATAATTGGTCGTGGAGTTGACGTAAAGTTATACTACACAATCGGTGAGGTGAGGTAAAATGGGGTTAAACGTCCCCTCCAAGATTATTGCACAAGATTAGCGATGTGCATGCACGTGTGTGTGTGTGGCTGTTCAATGAACTAGACTGGACTGATGCCGATTTATAGTGCTAGCACACTGAGATACCATACCTCAGTTTAACATGAATACCCACCTCAGACACAGTATACTGACTCTGAGCCGACCAGTCTTTGTTTCAGTCCCATAATGCCAAGCACCAGACAGGGTAACAACAAGTACCATCTTTTAACGTCTTTGGGTATGACGCTGCCAGGGATCAAACCCTGGACCTTCCGCTCTCCGGTTAGACAATGTGATCGGTTTTGGATTTAGGAGTCAGAAAAGGAATGTAAAGTTACATTACATGATAGTTTTTCGAGTTAACGTAAAGTTAGCCGACACGAAAATGATGAATGGTTTACAGACTGCAACATAAAAGAACATTCACTCACTCACTCACTCACTCACACACTCCTGTTGACCATATATGATCATATCAATCACCTTCCTCCACTTCAATCTTCTCCACTACAGCCGGTCCCAACACATATTTAGATTTTCTTTCCACAACCATTTCAATATTCCAACGACAACAGCAGCAACAACGGCAACACAGCCTTCCCACCCTCTCCGCAACACTGGCCACAGTGGTCCTTCCCGTGTCACTGATGACTGACACATGGTAGGGAAAGCAAACAGACCTTTATCTGGCTGATTGCACGTTCTTTGTACCTTGATAACATAGTCAGGCAACAGTGGAACGTGGACCACCTCCGTATCAGTACTGTTTTTTTAAACATGTAACTGCAGTGGATTTGATTTACTATAACTTGAATTGGCAACAATGACGCACTCAACGTTCAAAACGCTCAGCCGAAGACATTTGTACAGAGTTTAAGAGATCTTTCAGATAAGTACACATTTATAATGGGCAGCATTTTTTGGTATGATGGTGCATGTAGTGTGGATGATCAACTTCAGCAGGGATCGAAATTACTACTGGTTTCTTAGCCTTGACCAATCTTGTTAAAGGTATCCTACACCAAATTTCAAACAGTTTGGGACAATTGGTATATGTCATCACAATTCAGGCTTTTAGACAATCTCCATTAATTAACACCCTGCATTCTTTATTATCAGAGATATGAGTTTACCTTTGCTGAAAAGCCATTAGTATACAGGCAGGCATTTGTTGTTCTGAGGATATCAAAGTGGACATTTTAAAGATTTATACATCTAAGATTGGAGTACATACAAGATGGAGGAATGTGTCACCTCGTCTGTCACATTTGTCATTCCCCTGATCGTGTGAGTGTGTGGAGACACAACAACTGTATCACCAGCAAACATCAGGGACAAGCTCACATCCTTCTGACAGTTCGGCAGGTAATCACGGGCAATGCTATTTTTCATGCTACTGTCACATGCAGTGTGCAGTGTATCAATATTTAGTGTACCATATGTGTATACGGTGTCCCTGTCTCCTTCAAGTAAAATAAAACTCATAGGGGAGTAACCAGGTCACAGGTCAGACGTGCACTGGTCAGCTGTTTCAGGGTGGGGTAGGCCGACCATATATACTCTTGGAGTTCTGAGACTGCAACTTGAAGCTGTTGTCTTATAAGGCAAAGAATAAGATCATCCCTACGATGATACTACATCAAAAACTACACACCCATTTAGCGGTCTGGTAGCCTGGTGGTTAAAGCGTACACTCCTCAAACCGAAGACCGGGGTCCAATTCCCGACAAGGGTACAATTTGTGAAGCCCATTTCTGGTGTCCCCCGCCCTGATATTGCTGGCATATTGCTAAAAGCGGCATAAAAACATACTCACTCACTCACTCACTCGCTCACACACCCATTTTGACTTGAATTTTGCTTCGATACCTATAGCAACCCAACCCAGTCATCGCCTTGATCAAATGTCTAGCTCCTTGATCAACTGTCCATCTCCTTGATCAACTGTCCATCTCCTTGATCAACTGTCCATCTCCTTGATCAATGCTCCATCTCCTTGATCAACTGCCCATCTCCTTGATCAACTGTCCATCTCCTTCATCAACTGTCCATCTCCTTCATCAACTGTCCATCTCCTTGATCAACTGTCCATCCCCTTGATCAACTGTCCATCCCCTTGATCAACTGACCAACTCCTTCATCAACTGTCCAGCTCCTTGATCAACTGTCCATCCCCTTGATCAACTGACCAACTCCTTCATCAACTGTCCATCTCCTTGATCAACTGACCAACTCCTCAATCAAATGTCCATCTCCTTGATCAATGTCACATTTGAAGTTATAACTGCTTTATTAAGAACACAAACAGGACACTCTTGGTTATCAACACATACATATCAACAGGCCACAACCCAACAACTACTTCAATCATGTCATTGAAACACAAATCATATCTAGAAAAAATATGTCTTTCCAACATGTTCAAAGTGTCAACAGATTTATCGCTGTATCTTGATATGTATAACACCAAGTGAACCTTGGGTGGCAGGCTTTCAGGAGTTCAGGTAGTTATACAAATTTATTACTTCTCATTACCTTTACCTGTGGGAACTGGAGGTTGAAAATCCAGGTAATAGGTGTATGTCATCGAGGCAAAACTGGTTTGGGTTTTACTAACACCAATTATACCAATCACTGCTATAACTAATATTATATAACACTGATTTTATCAGATTATAACCATGATAACAAACATGTACTTGAACATGTTGAAAGTTTATTTACAAAAATTTACATAATGAACAAGAAATATATGTCTACATTTTCATTCAAATCTTTTTATTTTAGAGTTAATACATTTCAATTCAGATATCTGACCTTACTCATTGTTTTATTTAAGAGGCTATTATGAGTTATATCCCTTCTATACTGAACAACAAAAGCTCCTGTGACATTGAATAAGATTTATTGCAAAATTATGTTTTTTACCAAATCTGAAAAAATGTCAATTTACATGTCAATTTACATGTCAATAGCGTGTGTGCCCACCTCTGGTTGCGATGCAAGCAACACATCTTCGTCTCATGGAATGGACCGGGCGTCACACAAAGTCCTGTGGGATATCTGTCCATATCTGCTGGAGCATGTTTTGAAGTTCCTGGAGTGTCTGTGGAACACGTGGTTGACGACGAAGGCGCCGATCCATCTCATCCCACATGTGCTCGATTGCTGAGAGATCAGGGGAGCGAACCAGCCAGGATATGACATTCACGTTGTTTTGTTGAAGAGAATCCTGAACAAGTCGAGCAATATGAGGCCAGGCGTTATCATGTTGAAAGGTAATGCCTGGGTCATGACGACGCAAAAACGGTAGAACAACAGGGCCGATGATCTATTCGCAGTAGCGCTGTCCATTGAGATTTCCCTCTACAACTATTAAACGGGTCCTCTGTCTTGCTGTAATCCCACCCCATACCATAACGCTGCCGCCCCCGAACCGATCTTCTCCCGTGACACAATGATTGATGTAACGTTCACCTCGACATCAGTACCCTCGAATCCGTCCATCGCTGTGGCTGAGGTGAAAACGAGACTCATCAGTGAATAGAACTTGTCCCCACTGCATGGCCGTCCAGCGTAGATGCTGTCTGCAACACTGTAGATGTGCTTGACAGTGGGTACCTGTCAAAATGGGACGTCTGGCGGGTCTTCTGGCGACAATACGTGCACATCTGAAGCGACGATGTCCGGTTTGTGAAGATATTCGTCAAAGGCCAGGGATGTTTCTTGCAGTCACTGTTGCTGGCTGGAATCGATTTCGTAGGTGTGTTGTGTGAATCCAGTTGTCTTGTTGATTATTGGTTACGCGTGGCCTGCCACTCCGAGGATGGTCTCTGACTGCATTCGTCTGTTGCCAACGTTGCCATAAACATCATATGGTGTTTCTGTGGATGTTAAATTGTCTTGCAACATCACGTTGACTCGATCCTGCTTCAAGCATACCAATGGCTCGCAGACACTCATTTTCGGACAGGCGTGGCATTTTGCAATGTTGAATAATTGCATAATTTTGTTGTTTTTCTGAGTGGTTGTCAGCACGATGCTAAACAATGTATATGGAATCCCGTTAATGCACATGTTTTCATACCCATTCTTGGGTAGTGAAATGCATGGTGCTTGCATAAAAGTCAACTTTTGCATGGAATGCATGCTTTTCTGTAGAAGTTGTGTTTTTGTGACTTGATTCCATACATGTACTACAATATTGAAAACCAAACTTTACTTGTTTGAAAAATACACTAAAATATTGGTGTCACAGGAACTTTTGTTGTTGAGTATATATCCCTCCTATTGACCAATCAGATTCCACCTCTCATATCACTTGCACTTGCTTCAAACAAAACGGTGGCGCCTAGTCAAGACGATCTGATCGATAGTCAAGATCTGTATTGTAATAAAACGGGTCTTACTTTCGCAAAGTGCACCAAATAATGTGAACAAGTGAGTACTTTGATTAAAAGCATGAAAATATCTGTGTCAAATCCTGCAGTCGACCAAAATCTGCACAGGGGTTTACAAACAGGTTGTTGATTTCATTATGAGATTTTGATTGGACTATGCATAGACTTATTAGTCCAGCTAAAATATAACTCCATAATTGATTAAAAGCATGAAAATATCTGTTGTCAAATCCTGCAGTCGACCAAAATCTGCACAGCGGTTTACGAACCGGTTGCTGATTTCATTATGAGATTTTGATTGGACTATGCGTAGACTTATTAGTCCAGCTAAAATATAACTCCATAATACCAGCCTAGTTTGGCAAGGGTGGAATCTGGACTTTTATGGGCAGTTAGCTCCCTTGCCTCGGGACGACGAATGCATGTCTAATCCATGTGCATTGTACTATGTTCGAATCATCATGATCCACGTGTTCAGAGGCTCAGTGAACCCTGTACGCAGGATTTGACAATATAATTATCAATAATACTTGAGTCAGTACCTACCTGGTGAGTTCAAAAGAGTATACATATCTATCGCAGCTACAGACACATTCCGTAACGTGAGACGAACTGCACTGAATAAGCTGTGTGCTCATCAAGTACTGTTTTAACACTGCCAACACCTGTGACCTGTTGTCAATATAACATATGGCAGATGCTGCTAATTGTATCAACAAATCTATATCTATCCTGGCTAAATGGTCTCCTCGGTCTGTCAGGCTCTACTTCACGATATGCCTGGTAATTAATAAATGTAGTTTCAAGTGGGGCTGTCATGTTATATTACTGGCAAACAATATGAAACTAATGATTTGAATTTAGATATCACTTTATAAACCTGAATCCAACTTCCCTAACAATGAAATTTCACATCATTCACGAACAGTAGTGAGTGAGTGAGAGAGAGAGAGTTGGGTTTAACACCGCTTTTAACAGTATTCAAGTTATATCACGGTGTGTCAGTGTCGGAGGAAAGCCCGAAGTGATGCAGGTCTCAGACGTTTACTACTTCGGTGAAACCCACGAGCACGGGTATGGTGCTGACAAACCTAGAAACATAATCGGGGCGAACCGGGATTCAAACCCACAATCATAGGTTTCTGGCGTGCCCAAGAAATGCAACGCTGCACAATGAATCATGGCACCTTAGACGACTGGGCCACCCGTGCTCCCGCATGAACAGTACATGAAGCACGTGCACACAGTGTGTGCATCTACGTGGTTCTTCAGGCAGAATGGCCGGTATACCAAGGGCAACCAT